TTCCACAGCATCTGCTTAGAGCATCGCAGTACGATGGCAGACAGATTCATTTTATCCAGGTGCAAACAGAACGTTTCCGCAGATCTTTAACCCACGCTATGAGGGTTTTACAGTGGCTTGTGAAAGTATTCACCCCCTTTGCATTTTTCCTATTTTGTTGCGTAACAACCTGGAATTAAAATCGATTTTTTGGGGGGGTTTGTATCATTTGATTTACACAACATGCCTACCACTTTGAAGATGCAACATCTTTTTTATTGTGAAACAAACAAATAAGACAAAAAAACAGAACTTGAGCGTGCATACCTATTCACCCCCCCAAAGTCAATACTTTGTAGAGCAACTTTTTGCAGCAATTACAGCTGCAAGTCTCTTGGGGTATGTCTCCATAAGTTGGGATTTTTGCCCATTCTTCAAGGCAAAACTGCTCCAGCTCCTTCAAGTTGGATGGGTTCCGCTGGTGTACAGCAATCTTTAAGTCATACCACAGATTCTCAATTGGATTGAGGTATGGGCTTTGACTAGGCCATTCCAAGACATTTAAATTGGTGGTCCTCTGTAGCTCAATTGGTAGAGCATGGCGCTTGTAACGCCAGGGTAGCAGGTTCGATCCCCGGGACCACCCATACGTAAAAATGTATGCACACATGACTAAGTCGCTTTGGATAAAAGCGTCTGCTAAATGGCATATTATTATTATTATTTAAATGTTTCCCCTTAAACCACTCAAGTGTTGCTTTAGCAGTATGTTTAGGGTCATTGTCCTGCTGGAAGGTGAACCTCTGTCCCAGTCTCAAATCTCTGGAAGACTGAAACGGGTTTCCCCTCAAGAATTTCCCTGTATTTAGCACCATCCATCATTCCTTCAATTTTGACAAGTTTCCCAGTCCCTGCCGATGAAAAACATCCCCACAGCATGATGCTGTGGTGCCATATTCTTTCAATTTTTTTATAATGGATTTAATGGTGCTCCGTGGGATGTTAAAAGTTTCTGATATTTTTTTAAAACCCAACCCTGATCTCCACAACTTTGTCCCTGACCTATTTGGAGAGCTCCTTGGTCTTCATGGTACCGCTTGCTTGGTGGTGCACCTTGCTTGGTGGTGTTGCAGACTCTGGGGCCTTTCAGAACAGGTGTATATATACACTGAGATCATGTGACACTTAGATTGCACACAGGTGGACTTTAACTAATTATGTGACTTCTGAAGGTAATTGGTTGCACCAGATCTTATTTAGGGGCTTCATAGCAAAGGGGGTGAATACATATGCACGCACCACTTTTCCGTCATTATTTGTTTGATTTCACTTCACCAATTTTGAATATTTTGTGTATGTCCATTCCATGAAATCCAAATAAAAATCAATTTAAATTACAGGTTGTAATGCAACAAAATAGGAAAAACGCCAAGGGGGATGAATACATTTGCAAGGCACTGTATATATTCATTAACTATGTGCTGCTTTTACAGTTTATGTTTTGTGTGTTGTGTATTATTGTGATGCATCTTTTGGCTGGTGCAATCAATTTTGTCATCTGGATTATTCCAGATTTCCCCCTTACAGGATAAACATGCATTCTTTCAGTTGTCTATTAAATACTTCTGTCAACTTCATTCTCGCTGTAGCGCTCACGAAGCATCAGGTTAGGCATATCTTTGTAGTGTACTATTTCCACGATAGTGGTAGCCAGTTACGCAAGTTATCATGCATGCTTGTACATTGTTTGAATGCAGGCATCGTATACCCTGATGCAGGTCACACTCATACAGTCATTACTGTAGCGGAGCGTGACTCATATCTACCCCCATTGTGCTGGGCCAAATGCTGTGTACTGCTATGTACGCTGTCCAGCAGTCGAGCAGCGTAATATCGTGATACTCAGCTGGGGTCAGTCTGTTGCCGGCTAAACATAGGTCTTTCATCATTTAGCATATATTTCAAAGAAGTACAGTTCATTTTAAAAATGATTTCTACTGCTAACCCTGACCTTTTCCCCCCATATTTCAGTTATCACCTTGGACCTTAGTGGGGAAGCTCACGCTGTATCGCGGTGTGATGACCAATCAAGGCTTGCTATAGCTTCCAGCCGTGTTGAATTGGCTGTTAATACTAGCATTACCTAGCATGCCATGGGCTTGCTAAACACCCACATGTGGCGATTAGCTATTGGCGATCAAGCGTTCATCGTCCCCAATGGACGCGTCTGTTAAGAGCTTGTTTCAGACACTGCTGTATGGTCCAGGCATATTTCAGTATCTATTTGGTACATTTCTTCTTGTTATCAGGTCATCTATCTTCTCCATGGCCTACCAGCATATACACTATATATACAAAATTAGTGGATTCGGCTATTTCAGCCACACCCATTGCTGACAGGTGTATAAAGTCAAGCACAAAGCCATGCAATCTCCATAGACAAACATTGACAGTAGAATGGCCTTACTGAGGAGCTCAGTGACTTTCAATGTGGGACCGTCATAGGATGCCACCTTTCCAACAAGTCAGTTCGTCACATTTCTGCCCTGCTAGAGCTGCCCCGGTCAACTGTAAGTGCTGTTATTATGAGTGGAAACGTCTGGGAGCAACAACGGCTCAGCTACGAAGTGGTAGGCCACACAAGCTCAACGATAAAAATCGTCTGTCCTCAGTTGCAACACTCACTACCGAGTTCCAAACTGCCTCTGGCAAGCAACGTAAGCACAATAACTGTTTGTTGGGAGCTTCATGAAATGGGTTTCCATGGCCGAGCAGCCACACACAAGCCTAAGATCACCATGCAATGTCAAGCGTTGGCTGGAATGGTGTAAAGTTTGCCACCATTGGACTCTGGAGCAGTGGAAACACGTTCACTGGAGTGATGAATCACGCTTCACCATCTGGCAGTCCGACGGACAAATCTGGGTTTGGCAGATGCCAGGAAAAAAAAAAAAGTTTGGTGGAGGAGAAATAATGGTCTGCGGGCTAGCTGTGAGCTATGGGCCGCCCAATTCTGCATTGCAGTTGCTACTGCTTTCCAATCAGTCCTGGCTTCACTCTCAAGAACACGGGCCCATGACCCTCTGCTGCTGTGATGTTACATTTGATTGATTCTGAGATAGTGGAGCCTACATGAGTTCCTGCAGTATTGCTATATGATCATGATTGTGTCAGCCGTATGGTCCAGTAGCTATGTTGCATATGTAGAATATCCTCATATACCAAGATGACAGCTCATCCTGGCGGTGCATTTATATTGCAGGTGGTTGGCTAGGTTAATGTCAGGCGGGTTCATACTACTTATGGTTGCCTCGTTAGATGGGTAGAATATTTCCCATGTACCAAGATGACAGCTCATCTTGCCTCATCGGGGTACCCGGCAGGGTGTAATATGAGAAATAGACATACTGCTGTATTAGCTCATGCTACACAGTTAGTATTCACACACAGGCCTAGTAGACAGTCATGTAATGGTAGAATGAGAGAGAATTGAGAGCTCCTAAACGGCAATGAGTTTACCTGCCAGTACCATGCCTCATTAAGTTTGCTATAATGGCGTCAGCCGTGGTCAATAGCCTACATGTTGCCGTCTTTGCTGGCTACTTGATATAAAGTACATTGCATATAGCTACAGGCGGTTGGCTGGGTCATATTGCTTAAGGTTGCTTGTTAGATACAAATATATTGTTATGTAGATCCACCAGATGATTACTCATTTAGTTTCAGTGCGAGAACCTGGTGGTGCATCTCCAGGGCAGCTGGGTTCGTACTACTGACGGTTGCTAGTTAGGTAGAATATTCTCATATACCAAGATGACAGCTCATATTGCCTCAAGCGAGGGTACCCGGCGTTGCGTCACATGAAAAATATAAGACATACATTGCACAACATTGCACAGCTCATGCTATGTATGGTTAATATTCACACCTAGTATACAGTCTTGTAAATGTTAGGATGTCTTTAGCTGGTCTATTTGCTAATATCTAAACTAAGTTGTCTGCCGTAGGGTTCTGCTGTTTTGGGGTGGATTGGTATAGTTTACCGCGCTCACTGCTAGTAGGTAATTTCATATACTGAATAAAAATATAAATGCAACAACTTCCAGGAATTGTGTACAGATCCTTGTGACATGGGGCCGTGAATTATCATGCTGAAACATGAGGTGATGGCAGCGGATGAATGGCACAACAATGGGCCTTGGGATCTAGTCACGGTATCTCTGCGCATTGAAATTGCCATAGATAAAATGCAATTGTGTTCGTTGTCCGTAGCTTATGCCTGCCCATACCATAACCCCATCGCCACAATGGGGCACTCCGCTCACAACGTTGACATCAGCAAACCGCTCGCCTATACAACGCCATACATGTGGACTGATGTTGTGAGGCCGGTTGGACGTACTGCAAAATTCTCTAAAACGACATTGGAGGCGGCTTATGATAGAGAAATGAACATTAAATTATCTGTCAACTGTTCTGGTGGACATTCCTGCAGTCAGCATGCCAATTGCACGCTCCCTCAAAACTTTCAACATCTGTGGCATTGTGTTGTGTGACAAAACTGCACATTTTAGAGTGGCCTTTTATTGTCCCCAGCACAAGGTACACCTGTGTAATGATTATGCTGTTTAATCAGCTTCTTGAAATGCCACATCTGTCAGGTGGATGGATTATCTTGGCAAAGGAGAAATGCTCACTAACAGGGATGTAAACAAATTTGTGCACATTTGAGAGAAATAAGCTTTTTGTGCGTATGGAAAATGTTGGGGATCTTTTATTTCAGCTCATGAAACATGGGGCCAACACTTTACATGTTGCGTTTATATATCTTTGTTCAGTGTATATTGAAGCTTTGCTTGGGCAGTGAGTAACCCTGAAGGAGCAGCGCATACATCACCAAGACTTGCATTATTAATTTCTTAATAAATGGTTAAACATCTTTCTGCATGGTGTTTCCTTTCTGAAAGATCGTATTGATAACAATGTGGTAACTTGTGTGTGTGTGTCCAGGTGTGGTTTACCTCATAGATTCCTCCAAACAGAGACATGAACTTGCTGAGGAGTGCAGCACACAGACTGGCAATGTGAACAAATGGACCCTAAAGAGGGATAGAGAACGACTTGTGAATGATTTTTGAAAAAACTTGGTATTACACTTTTAAAGAAAATAACTTCACATTTCAACTTCAGTTTTACTCTCCTCCGAAAAAAGAAAGTCACATTTTGTCAAAAGCCAAAAGGAAATGTAGTCCAGTGGTTAAAACGGAAACGTATACGAAAGTGACACCCCCCAGCAGACTAACCTACTCCTGGTGTTGAGAAGCAACACTTTTCCCCAATACAACTAGTACACAGGATACAAACGTCTGCACAGCTAGCGCAGGCCAAAACCATCCATCTATTATTCTGGAAAAAATACTTATTCTTATCACCATAGTGACCTCAGTAGGGTGTTTAGTTTATCACTATATCCTGATGTAATGCATGTCATCCATAACCCTCCTGACCATGCAGCATAACACAGACTGATGTGGCAGCACTGATCTACCTGTCAAGTCACGGGATGCTGGTGAGGGGAGGACGGCTCATAATATTGACTGGAATTAAGTGTTTGATGTGTCGATACCATTCCAGCCATTACTATGAGCCCATCCTCCCTAATTAAGGTGCCACCAGCCGCCTGTGTGCCAGGTGTCGGTGTAGTGTTCCAGTCTACAGCAGGACCCTGTGGTAAAGCTTACCACAGGTACATATTCACTGAGCCGGGCATACTGGCCTGGTAAACAAACAGTGTCATACCGTCAGGATTCTACTAAGCCCTTCAATTATGGATCCGCCAAAACTCCATGGTTGGATTCTCTCTCCCGCTCTCCCTCCTTGTTTTCACACTCATTCATAGCCTGAACCCTGCTGTTGAAACATGTGTGTACACACAAACTCAGTTCTCGGTGTGTTCCTATACCAATCAACTCCTCCAGTGTATCACTGATTCATCTCAGCTCTTTCAAGACCTTCCTAAGAAAAACGCATGTCAAAAATGTTATAAATGGATTTGCATTTTAATGAGGGAAATAAGTATTTGACCCCTCTGCAAAAACATGACTTAGTACTTGGTGGCAAAACCCTTGTTGGCAATCACAGAGGTCAGACGTTTCTTGTAGTTGGCCACCAGGTTTGCACACATCTCAGGAGGGATTTTGTTCCACTCCTCTTTGCAGATCTCCAAGTCATTAAGGTTTCGAGGCTGACGTTTGGCAACTCGAACCTTCAGCTCCCTCCACAGATTTTCTATGGGATTAAGGTCTGGAGACTGGCTAGGCCACTCCAGGACCTTAGTGTACTACTTCTTGAGCCACTCCTTTGTTGCCTTGGCCGTGTGTTTTGGGTCATTGTCATGCTGGAATACCCATCCACGACCCATTTTCAATGCCCTGGCTAAGGGAAGGAGGTTCTCACCCAAGATTTGATGGTACATGGCCCCGTCCATCGTCCCTTTGATGCGGTGAAGTTGTCCTGTCCCCTTAGCAGAAAAACACCCCCAAAGCATAATGTTTCCACCTCCATGTTTGACGGTGGGGATGGTGTTCTTGGGGTCATAGGCAGCATTCCTCCTCCTCCAAACACGGCGAGTTGAGTTGATGCCAAAGAGCTCGATTTTGGTCTCATCTGACCACAACACTTTCACCCAGTTCTCCTCTGAATCATTCAGATGTTCATTGGCTAACTTCAGACTGCCCTGTATATGTGCTTTCTTGAGCAGGGGGACCTTGTGGGCACTGCAGGATTTCAGTCCTTTACGGCGTAGTGTGTTACCAATTGTTTTTTTGGTGACTATGGTCCCAGCTGCCTTGAGATCATTGACAAGATCCTCCTGTGTAGTTCTGGGCTGATTCCTCACCGTTCTCATGATCATTGCAACTCCACGAGGTGAGATCTTGCATGAAGCCCCAGGCCGAGGGAGATTGACAGTTCTTTTGTGTTTCTTCCATTTGCGAATAATCGTACCAACTGTTGTCACCTTCTCACCAAGCTGCTTGGCGATGGTCTTGTTGCCCATTCCAGCCTTGTGTAGGTCTACAATCTTGTCCCTGACATCCTTGGAGAGCTCTTTGGTCTTGGCCATGGTGGAGAGTTTGGAATCTGATTGATTGATTGCTTCTGTGGACAGGTGTCTTTTATACAGGTAACAAACTGAGATTAGGAGCGCTCCCTTTAAGAGTGTGCTCCTAATCTCAGCTCGTTACCTGTATAAAAGACACCTGGGAGCCAAAAATCTTTCTGATTGAGAGGGGATCAAATACTTATTTCCCTCATTCAAATGCAAATCAATTTATAACATTTTTGACATGCATTTTTCTGGATTTTTTTGTTGTTATTCTGTCTCTCACTGTTCAAATAAACCTACCATTAAAATTATAGACTGATCATGTCTTTGTCAGTGGGCAAACGTACAAAATCAGCAGGGGATCAAATACTTTTTTTCCCTCACTGTAACTACTGGAACAGACTGTACTGGCAGCAACATGTGACAACTACCCACACAAGCCTGACTGTGAGAAGAGTATGTGTATGTATGCGTCAGAAGAATGTCAGAAGTGAGAAGAATGTTTACTAAGTGTGTGTGCGTGTACTGTGTGTGTGTGTGTGTGTTACCTCCTTGCCCAGAGGCATGCCACTGCCCAGGGCACAGGTGAGGCCAATGACTTTGGCCACAAAGGTTTTAAAGGTGAGGTATTCTTTCAGCACTACACCCCTCAGAATGGTCTTCATCTCTGGGATACCTGAACCTAGAGGGGGAGAGGGGGTTATGGTGCTATGATGCAGTCAGTATGCGTGTGTGTGTATGGTTATGTGTCAGAATGTGTGTGAGTGTGTGTCTTACCTACGGCCTGTGGGGCCAGTATCTGTGTGAAGCCAGCTGAGAAGGTGATGAGCACCACAGGGTAGGTGACCCAGGCCAGGTACTGGAGAAACACATTACTCTCCAGGCCTCCGTACATCCACTTCTGTGCTGTGGACACACACACACAGACCAATATCAACTTGATGTCAATCAGAAAGTAAAAGTACATCCAATATATAAATCGTGAAAAAATATATAAAATCGTGGAAATCGCAATACATATCGTATTGGCACCAAAGTATCGTGATAATATCGTATCGTGAGGTCCCTGGCAATTCCCAGCCCTACTCATGAGTACAGCGACAAAATATTTGACAACAGTAGAACCCGCAGGACTCCTCTCCCAGAAATGACTGCTTTACAGGGAGAGATCAAAAGTGTGTGTATGTATGAGTGTGTTTCTGGAGAAAGGAGGGGATTTGTCTGGATGAGCGTCTTGTTTCTAGATGACTCACTCTTCACCCCTCTTCACTTTCTCCACATGCAGTCTCCCACCTGACACACACACACACACCACAGAAAAGTGTGTAAATGTGTGTTTGACTGAAGATAAAGCACATTGACACCCACACACCTTCTGAACACACATCATACACGCTACACACACACAAACAGTTTCATGCTGCAAAGTCTAAATTAAACCACATTTAAGCTAATCGTACACAAACACAGTTTCATGCTGCAAAGATGACATTAAATCAGATTTAAGCTAAATCGTACACACACACACACACACACACACACACACCCCTGCATGCAGCTCAGGGAGACAGCCATCTGCACTGCAGCTCATCATGAACACACACCCTGGTTTGAGGGGGGGGTGTGCGTAAGCCCCAGTGTCTGAGACTATATGGAGTGTAGCTTAATGTCTTCTTTAGCTGCATGCAGGAGTGGTGTCAGATTAAATGATTCAGACAAAGGAACAGAGTGTACAGCTGACCAGAGCCATCAGTAGACCAAGCAGTCTACCTCTCCTTCCCTCCCCAATGCCCTCTCCTCCCGAACGCCCTCTCCTCCCGAACGCCCTCTCCTCCCTCACCTTGTAGACAGATGGCGATAGCGAAGTCGACCACCCAGCTGACCAGAGCCATGAGTAGACCCAGGAGGATGAGGAAGATCCAGTCTTCACCAACACGAGAGATGAGGAACTTCTGACAGCGCACCGTACAGACTGGAGGGAAGAGAGATACAGGTGCACACTGTTAGACAACAACACTGTTACTAGTACAGTACTAGTCAGTCAAGTCAGTCAGAACTACAATAGAAACAAACCAACACATCTTACAGACTGAGGAGAGACGTTTAGCATTGTTAAAACTACATTACCCACCTTGGAGTCAGGACCACACATACCCACCATACATTGTAAACCCCTACACCCACAAGTACCCATTTGTCGATCTCCACTTTTGCACAGACATCTGTAGTCTCATTTTACATGGGGGCTGTTTAATTCACACAGCTCTTTCTCCTCTCCTCTCCTCCCCTCCTCTACCAGTTCTTCCCCTTATTTCTCCCCTCTCAGAGTGGAGACGTCTAGCAGCAGAGGTCCCTCTAGTCCTCTACTTTAATGACCGTGTCACATCATACACGCCACCCTGTCCTAACATTAGTCCTGCTCTGCTCCCCTGTCATCTTATTCAGTCTTCTCTCATCTCACCAATGTACTAAACCACACTAATGCTACTTTACCACAGTACAAGATTCTGTCAGATGAAAGGGAGAATATAAAAAAAGTATAAAATAAATCCTCTTCTTTCTGTATCCCCCTCTTCCTCTCTCTCTCTCTTTTCCTTCTCATCTAAAGTATTATTACTCTCCCCATTTCTGTCTCTCCACTTTCCTTCTTCTCTATAGTACGGCCTGTGTGTCCTATTGTATAGGGGAACAGGTTGTTATGTTGATGACATGGATGGGGGTGTATATCATTAATACTCAACACATTTAATGGAATAGGGTCCTTGAAGTGGGTGTATAGGGGTGGATTTGGGAGAGAGAGGCGTAGACATGGCAATATATTGAATATTGTGTGGTGCAGGATGGCGAAAGAGCAACATGCGTGTTTTTAGCATACTACGCTACACACACACACACTCTCCAATCAACACCTTCACTGTCTGTCTAACACACACACACACACACACACACACACACACACACAGCTTACATAAGCAGTGAGAAACACTGTGTTTTGCATCATCTCACCCACGGCCCAGCTGGGTTCTAAGATCCCCTTCTGTTCTCTAGTCAGCATGTGTGAGATAGTGTTTTGCGAGATGTGTGCGTTTGTCGTGGTTTAGATTTTATTTTATTTTATGTAATTTAGCAGACGCTCTTATCCAGAGCGACTTACAAGAGCAATTAGGGTTAAGTGCCTTGCTCAAGGGCACAGACTTTTCATCTAGACGGCTCAGGGATTCGAACCAATGACCTTTTGGTTACTGGCCCAAAGCTCTTAACCACTAGGCTACCTGCCACTGTCTGTATGTGTTTGCGTGTGTGTACACTGAACAAAAATATAAAACATGTAAAACATTTTACTGAGTTACAGTTCATATAAGGAAATCAGTCAATTGAAATGAATTCATTAGGCCCTAATCTATGGATTTCTCGACTGGCAATACAGATATGTATCTGTTGGTCACAGATACCTTTAAAGAAAAGTAGTGGCTTGGATCAGAAAACCAGTCAGTATCTGGTGTGACCACCATTTGAAACATGCAGCGCGACATCTCATTCGTATAGAGTTGATCAGGCTGTTGATTGTGGCCTGTGGAACGTTGTCCCACTGAAGTCGGAGACGATGCAGAACTGCAGTCAGGTCAAGACCTTGGTGAGGACGACGAGCATGCAGATGAGCTTCCTGAGGCGGTTTCTGACTGTTCGTGCAGAAATTCTTTGGTTGTGCAAACCCACAGTTTCATCAGCTGTCCGGGTAGCTCGTCTCAGACCATCCCGTAGGTGAAGAAGCCGGATGTGGAGGTCCTGGGATGGCGTGGTTACACGTGGTCTGCGGTTGTGAGGCCGGTTGGACGTGCTGCCAAATTCTCTAAAACAACGTTGGAGGCAGCTTATGGTAGAAAAATTAACATTAAATTCTCTGGAAACAGCTCTGGTGGACATTCCTGCAGACAGCATGCCAATTGCACGTGCCCTCAAAACTTGCGACATCTGTGGCATTGTGTTGTGTAACAAAACATTTTAGAGTGGCCTTCTATTGTCCCCAGCACAAGGTGCACCTGTGTAATGATCATGCTGTTTTTAATCAGCTTCTTGATATGCCACACCTGTCAGGTAGATGGATTATCTTGGCAAAGGAAATATGCTCACTAACAGGGATGTCAACAAATTTGTGCACAAAATTTTTGAGAAATAAGCATTTTGTGTATTTGAACAATTTCTGGGATCTTTTATTTCAGCTCATGAAACATGGGACCAACACTTTACATGTTGCGTTTATATTTTTGTTCAGTATACATATAAAAAAGTGTGTGTGTTCCAACCAGCAGCAGGTATAATCTTGTCTGGTCTCTGAGCAGTAATGTGGTTAGCTCTGTCTGTGCTGCTATGACTCACTGGTTCCTGGGGTACACTGTCCACGCATTACAACGCTTACCAGTTTCATTCTTTATGGCAGGCAATAACCTGCATGATATTTCCCTCCATCCCTCTCCTCTTTTTGTCATTCACCCAATCCTGCCTTCTACCCTTCCTTTCCTCATCACTCTTCAACCCAAGGCTTAAACTTCTTTCATTACTCTCATCCTTCTTTTTTATTTTCTACCTTGCATCTCTTCTGTTTGTATCTCTCTCTCATTTAGGTTGCCTTGGATACAGAACGCATCCGCTTCCAGCGCCAAGTACTAAATGGCGGAGTGAGAATGAGTGAAGATGAACAAGTGAGAGAAAGGAAAGAGTGAACACAGTGAGCAAAATGAGTAAGGGCAAGAGCAAAAATAAGACACCAATTGTGAACACGCCGTACCAACAGAATACGGAACATCTTACGTAAAAAACAAATTATTCAAAATTACCCAACCCATTTGTTATGCAAGGTGACAGTTTCCTAAAGCAAAAATAACCTACATCATAAATGTTCCATTCTGCAGTCATGCCCTTTAAGGTGTATCAGAGGGAGGGTGCATACATTAGATGCTCATACATAAGAAAAAAGATTCAATTAGCTAGGCCTGCTTGGCTGTATATATGACCACCAGCTAATGGCTTTAGGATAGAACGGGACAGCAAACCACTCCACCCAGCTCTTTAGCTTTTACATATCAACTAGGAGAGGGATGGAGGGAGGGAGGGAGGGAGGGAGACAAATGTGCTTGAGGGAGACAGCAAAGGGACAGGTTGGAAGAAAAAGGGAGCGATTCAGCAGATACTGTATATCCCCAGCCATCTCCATATTCCACTGACTGTAGTGTAACCCCTATAAAAAAACAACCCTTCCCTCCCTGACTATATACGTTGAGGGAATAAAGTATTTGATCCCCTGCTGATTTTGTACGTTTGCCCACTGACAAAGACATGATCAGTCTATAATTTTAATGGTAGGTTTATTTGAACAGTGAGAGACAGAATAACAACAAAAAGATCCAGAAAAACGCGTGTCAAAAATGTTATGAATTGATTTGCATTTTAATGAGGGAAATAAGTATTTGACCCACTCTCAATCAGAAAGATTTCTAGCTCCCATGTGTCTTTTATACAGGTAACGAGGTGAGATTAGGAGCACACTCTTAAAGGGAGCGCTCCTAATCTCAGCTTGTTACCTGTATAAAAGACACCTGTCCACAGAAGCAATCAATCAATCAGATTCCAAACTCTCCACCATGGCCAAGACCAAAGAGCTCTCCAGGGATTCAGGGACAAAATTGTAGACCTACACAAGGCTGGAATAGGCTACAAGACCATCGCCAAGCAGCTTGGTGAGAAGGTGACAACAGTTGGTGCGATTATTCGCAAATGGAAGAAACACAAAAGAACTGTCAATCTCCCTTGGCCTGGGCCTCCATGCAAGATCTCACCTTGTGGAGTTGCAATGATCATGAGAACGGTGAGGAATCAGCCCAGAACTACACGGGAGGATCTTGTCAATGATCTCAAGGCAGCTGGGACCATAGTCACCAAGAAAACAATTGGTAACACACTACGCCGTGAAGGACTGAAATCCTGCAGCGCCCGCAAGGTCCCCCTGCTCAAGAAAGCACATATACAGGGCCGTCTGAAGTTTGCCAATGAACATCTGAATGATTCAGAGGAGAACTGGGTGAAAGTGTTGTGGTCAGATGAGACCAAAATCAAGCTCTTTGGCATCAACTCAACTCGCCGTGTTTGGAGGAGGAGGAATGCTGCCTATGACCCCAAGAACACCATCCCCACCGTCAAACATGGAGGTGGAAACATTATGCTTTGGGGGTGTTTTTTGCTAAGGGGACAGGACAACTTCACCGCATCAAAGGGACGATGGACGGAGCCATGTACCGTCAAATCTTGGGTGAGAACCTCCTTCCCTCAGCCAGGGCATTGAAAATGGGTCGTGGATGGGTATTCCAACATGACAATGACCCAAAACACAAGTAGCACATTAAGGTCCTGGAGTGGCCTAGCCAGTCTCCAGACCTTAATCCCATAGAAAATCTGTGGAGGGAGCTGAAGGTTCGAGTTGCCAAACGTCAGCCTTGAAACCTTAATGACTTAATGACTAAGATCTGCAAAGAGGATTGGGACAAAATCCCTCCTGAGATGTGTGCAAACCTGGTGGCCAACTACAAGAAACGTCTGACCTCTGATTGCCAACAAGGGTTTTGCCACCAAGTACTGAGTCATGTTTTGCAGAGGGGTCAAATACTTATTTCCCTCATTAAAATGCAAATCAATTTATAACATTTTTGACATGCGTTTTTCTGGATTTTGTTGTTGTTATTCTGTCTCTCACTGTTCAAATAAACCTACCATTAAAATTATAGACTGATCATGTCTTTGTCAGTGGGCAAACATACAAAATCAGCAGGGGATCAAATACTTTTTTCCTTCACTGTAGTCTTACATTTACATTTTAGTCATTTAGCAGACGCTCTTATCCAGAGCGACTTACAGTTAGTGAGTGCATACATTATATATATATATATATATTTTCATACTGGCCCCCCCCCGTAGGAATCGAACCCACAACCCTGGCGTTGCAAACACCATGCTCTACCAACACCCCTATAAAACAACCCTTCCCTCCCTGACTATAGTCTAACCCATATAAAACACAACCCTTCCCTCCCTGACGATAGTCTAACCCATATAAAACACAACCCTTCCCTCCCTGACTATAGTCTAACCCATATAAACACAACTATTCCCTCCCTGACTATAGTCTAACCCATATAAAACACAACCCTTCCCTCCCTGACTATAGTCTAACCCATATAAAACACAACCCTTCCCTCCCTGACTATAGTCTAACCCATATAAAACACAACCCTTCCCTCCCTGACTATAGTCTAACCCATATAAAACACAACCCTTCCCCCCCTACCCCCTCCCCGACTATAGTCTAACCCATATAAAACACAACCCTTCCCTCCCCGACTATAGTCTAACCCATATAAAACACAACCCTTCCCTCCCTGACTATAGTCTAACCCATATAAAACACAACCCTTCCCTCCCTGACTATAGTCTAACCCATATAAAACACAACCCTTCCCTCCCTGACTATAGTCTAACCCATATAAAACACAACCCTTCCCTCCCCGACTATAGTCTAACCCATATAAAACACAACCCTTCCCTCCCCGACTATAGTCTAACCCATATAAAACACAACCCTTCCCTCCCTGACTATAGTCTAACCCATATAAAACACAACCCTTCCCTCCCTGACTATAGTCTAACCCATATAAAACACAACCCTTCCCTCCCTGACTATAGTCTAACCCATATAAAAACAACCCTTCCCTCCCTGACTATAGTCTAACCCATATAAAACACAACCCTTCCCTCCCTGACTATAGTCTAACCCATATAAAACACAACCCTTCCCTCCCTGACTATAGTCTAACCCATATAAAACACAACCCTTCCCTCCCTGACTATAGTCTAACCCATATAAAACACAACCCTTCCCTCCCTGACTATAGTCTAACCCATATAAAACACCCTCCCCTGACGATAGTCTAACCCATATAAAACACAACCCTTCCCTCCCTGACGATAGTCTAACCCATATAAAACACAACCCTTCCCTCCCTGACGATAGTCTAACCCATATAAAACACAACCCTTCCCTCCCTGACTATAGTCTAACCCATATAAAACACAACTATTCCCTCCCTGCTCCTCTCTCAATTTAAGGGGCTTTATTGGCATGGGAAACATATGTTTACATTGCCAAAGCAAGTGAAATAGATCATAAACAAAAGTGAAATAAACAATCAAAAGTGAACAGTAAATGTTACACTCACACAAGTTCCAAAATAATAGAGACATTTCAAATGTCATATTATGTCTATATACAGTGTTGTAATGATGTGCAAATAGTTAAAGTACTAAAGGGAAAATAAATAAACATAAATACAGGTTGTATTTACAATGGTGTTTGTTCTTCACTGGTTGCCCTTTTCTTGTGGCAACAGGTCACAAATCTTGCTGCTGTGATTGTACACTGTGGTATTTCATCCAATAGATATGGGAGTTTATCAAAATTGGGTTCGTTTTCTAATTCTTTGTGGGTCTGTGTAATCTGAGGGAAATATGTGTCTCTAATATGGTCATACATTTGGCAGTGTGCACATAACCTGCCTTCTCTTGAGAGCCAGGTCTGCCTATGGTCTTGTGAAGGCTGGCTGAATTCTGGCAAAGAATATGTTCTTTTATAATCAACATGTCTACAGATTCTCCCTTCTCCCTGTTTTTGTTTGCTTGGAAATGTTGATACTAGAGACATATCTGAAGAAACTGGTTACCAAGCATTTATAGCGGCTAAGAAATGCATTGCCATTAATTGGAAGGTTGGTTATCCTCCCACAATGTCAAGTTATGTATCACTAGCATTGATTTATTACCAGATTAAGGGTATACTGTGCAACTTTCATAAGGTCTGGATGCCTTATATGGAATACAGTACGACTAAAGGAGTCTGTATTGAAAACATACCCACATCAGGGGAGATACCTATTTAGGCAATCCCTAGCTGGTGGGCTGCTCAGTCCTGGCCTTGGTGGTCTGCCGTCCTGTGGGTTGTCATTCTGGCCTAGGCCTAACACACCCAAAACCAATAATTAATGTTTCACTAAGATCCTAAAGCAAATTGGGGTGTGTTGGGTTGGGGTGCTGCGGGGGACCCCTAGGGGCAGGAAGGGGTGACCCAGCTATATTGTGTGCAAGTAAAAAGAGCTCTACAGTACTATTAGGCCTATGAGATTAATGATATGGAGGATTTGCTGTTTGTGTGTTAATGTATATTTGAGGTGTATGCGTTTATTTTGTGTGTGTGTTTTTGTGTTTCCAAACATTTCCCTTGGGAACAAAAAATATATAAGGTGTGAACTGGGAAGGAAGTTGTGTTGGAAAGAGTTGAGTTATTGACTAGACTGGTGGGGGTCGGGTGTGCAGGCGGCTCAGGCTGGCTGAAATTGGATATAGAGAATGTCTTAATAAAGACAATCAAAAGTCTTGGTATTTTTTCAATAGTTGTCCATTTGTTAGGCTATTGGTTAAAGGTGCAACAATATTTATTATTGAATTACCTTTGATCAGTCTTATTAATCGTTTGAACATATTCAATAATGATCTCTTACTTAGCTTGATGACTGTGGGAATTTGTGCTTACTTTTTGTTCTAAATAGAGACAGCATATTGGATTGTGTAAAAATGCAGGAAATTAGCTTTAGATGCCTTTACATGTCCTTCCCCAGACCCCCCGCCAGGTTATGTCCCCCCCACTTCTAAAACCAAAGTGCCGCCCCTGACTTCACATCACACTGAGCACAGTTACATTCAACTATTGTAGATAGATTAATATAATAGGTTTGGTTTAAAACATTTACATGTTCTGCCTAATAATCCTGTTTACATGGACACATCTGAAATCAGGTTAACTGATGGGACTTTTGATAAATGCAGTAAATCGCCAATCAAAATAAACTTTCTATCACAGCGACCATGTTATTTTTGCGAAGCCTACTTGATTCGGAGTTCGGACATAAGGTTTGTATCTGAAAACTATTTCTAAGATGCATACTTTCAGTTTTTCCGAACTCACTTCACTCGCGCATGAGACCCATCAGACTAATGGCTGGGCTGATAGCTGGGCTACTCGGTGCTGGCAGATGAAATACACCACTGGAACGCCACTGGAACTGGAAATACACCACTGGAACGCTGATTAAGCTGTTTACATGTCCTAATAATTCTTAAGATTTCTCAGAAAACCAGCTGTTTTAATCGCTGTATGCTTACTTCGATTTTGACCTTACATCAATTAAGATAAGCAGAGTAAGGTGTTTACATGACCATTTCCATAATCAATTTAATATTGAATTATTAGTGTGCATGTAAAACGTACTTGATGATACTACTCACTGCTGGTTAATGGAGTAATGACAAACTCTCCTTCTTGCTTCACTACCTGCTTCTCTAGTGGGGGTTTAGGGTTGTAAAGGGGAATCTCAATTAAATCATTTCAGCCATAAGGGAGAATGGCATGACAGGATGACAACTGATTAAAACACTAAGGTGAAAACTCCTGTTCTGTTCTAGGGCTCAGTGTAAGACAGGTGATGAGGACATACGACCTGAAAGCCGGAGCTAACCCCCAGTAGTTGCTCTCATTCTGCTCTAAGTGTGTGTGTGTGTGTTAAGGAAAGCGTGTGTGTTAAGAGCAGGTGAAAGGAGAGCTTCCCAGGGAGGTCTGAGATCAGTGTATGTCAGCACCTGTAGCCTGAGCCCAGCTATCAGCCCAGCCATTAGTCTGATGGGTGTGTGAGCCGGGGGGGGCTGATGGCTGATACACATTAAATGGCACAGATGGATTTTTTTTTTTTTTTTTTATTTCACCTTTATTTAACCAGGTAAACCAGTTGAGAACAGGTTCTCATTTACAACTGTGACCTGGCCAAGACAAAGCAAAGTAGTGCAACAAAAAACAACACAGAGTTACATATGGGGTAAAAAAAAAAACATAAAGTCAGAGATACAACAGAAAATATATATACAGTGTGTGCAAATGTAGCAAGTTATGGAGGTAAGGCAATAAATAGGCTATAGTGCAGAATAATTACAATAGTATTAACACTGGAATGCTAGATGTGCAAGAGATTATGTGCAAATAGAGATAATGGGGTGCAAAAGAGCAAATTAAATAACAATATAGGGATGAGGTAGTTGGGTGGGCTAATTTCAGATGGGCTGTGTACAGGTGCAGTGATCGGTAAGGTGCTCTGACAACTGATGCTTAAAGTTATTGAGGGAGATAAGAGTCTCCAGCTTCAGAGATTTTTGCAATTCGTTCCAGTCATTGGCAGCAGAGAACTGGAAGGAATGGCGGCCAAAGGAGGTGTTGGCTTTGGGAATGACCAGTGAGATATACCTGCTGGAGCGCAGACTACGGGTGGGTGCTGCTATGGTGACCAATGAGCTAAGATAAGGCGGGGATTTGCCTAGCAGTGATTTATAGATGGCCTGGAGCCAGTGGGTTTGACGACGAACATGTAGTGAGGACCAGCCAACAAGAGCGTACAGGTCACAGTGGTGGGTAGTGTATGGGGCTTTGGAGACAAAACGGATGGCACTGTGATAGACTACATCCAATTTGCTGAGTAGAGTGTTGGAGGCTATTTTATAAATGACATCGCCGAAGTCAAGGATCGGTAGGATAGTCAGTTTTACGAGGGCATGTTTGGCAGCATGAGTGAAGGAGGCTTTGTTGCGAAATAGGAAGCCGATCCTAGATTTAACTTTGGATTGGAGATTCTTTATGTGAGTCTGGAAGTTGAGTTTACAGTCTAACCAGACACCTAGGTATTTGTAGTTGTCCACATACTCTAGGTCAGACCCGTCGAGAGTGGTGATTCTAGTCGGGTGGGCGGGTGCTAGCAGCGTTCGATTGAAAAGCATGCATTTAGTTTTACTAGTGTTTAAGAGCAGTTGAAGGCTACTGAAGGATTGTTGTATGGCATTGAAGCTCGTTTGGAGGTTTGTTAACACAGTGTCCAATGAAGGGCCAGATGTATACAAAATGGTGTCGTCTGCGTAGAGGTGGATCTGAGAGTCACCAGCAGCAAGAGCGACATCATTGATATACACGGAGAAAAGTGTCGGCCCAAGAATTGAACCCTGTGGCACCCCCATAGAGACTGCCATAGGTCCAGACAACAGGCCCTCCGATTTGACACACTGAACTCTATCTGAGAAGTAGTTGGTGAACCAGGCGAGGCAGTCATTTGAGAAACCAAGGCTATTTAGTCTGCCAATAAGAATGCGGTGGTTGACAGAGTCGAAAGCCTTGGCCAGGTCGATGAAGACGGCTGCACAGTACTGTCTATTATCAATCGCGGTTATAATATCGTTTAGGACCTTGAGCGTGGCTGAAGTGCACCCGTGACCAGCTCGGAAACCAGATTGCATAGCGGAGAAGGTACGGTGGTATTCGAAATGGTCGATGATCTGTTTATTAACTTGGCTTTCGAATACTTTCGAAAGGCAGGGCAGGATGGATATAGGTCTGTAGCAGTTTGGATCTAGAGTGTCACCCCCTTTGAAGAGGGGGATGACCGCGGCAGCTTTCCAATCTCTGGGGATCTCAGACGTTATGAAAGAGAGGTTGAACAGACTAGTAATAGCGGTTGCGACAATTTCGGCGGCTAGTTTTAGGAAGAAAGGGTCCAGATTGTCTAGCCCAGCTGATTTGTAGGGGTCCAGATTTTGCAGCGCTTTCAAAACATCAGCTGTCTGAATTTGTGTGAAGGAGAAGCGGGGGGGGGCATGGGCAAGTTGCAGCAGAGGGTGCAGAGTTGGTGGCCGGGTTAGTGGTAGCCAGATGGAAAGCATGGCCAGCTGTAGCAAAATGCTTGTTGAAATTCTCGATTATTGTAGATTTATCGGTGGTGATAGTGTTTCCTAGCCTCAGTGCAGTGGGCAGCTGGGAGGAAGTGCTCTTATTCTCCATGGACTTTACAGTGTCCCAAAACTTTTTGGAGTTAGTGCTACAGGATGCAAATTTCTGTTTGAAAAAGTTAGCCTTTGCTTTCCTGACTGCTTGTGTATATTGGTTCCTAACTTCCCTGAAAAGTTGCATATCGCGGGGGCTATTTGATGCTAATGCTGTACGCCACAGGATGTTTTTGTGCTGGTCAAGGGCAGTCAAGTCTGAGGAGAACCAGGGGCTATATCGGTTCTTAGTTCTGTATTTTTTGAAAGGGGCATGTTTATTTAAGATTGAGAGGAAATTACTTTTAAGGAACAACCAGGCATCCTCTACTGACGGAATGAGATCTATATCCATCCAGGATACCTGGGCCAGGTCAATTAGGAAGGCCTCCTCGCTAAAGTGTTTTAGGGAGCGTTTGACAGTGATGAGGGGTGGTTGTTTGACCGCGGACCCGTTACGGACGCAGGCAATAAGGCAGTGATCGCTGAGATCCTGGTTGAAGACAGCTGAGGTGTATTTAGAGGGTATGTTAGTCAGGATGATATCTATGAGGGTACCTATGTTTAAGGATTTAGGGTTGTACCTGGTAGGTTCGTTGATAATTTGCGTGAGGTTGAGGGCATCTAGCTTGGATTGTAGGATGGCTGGGGTATTAAGCATATCCCAATTTAGGTCACCAAGCAGTACAAACTCAGAGGATAAATGGGGGGCAATCAGTTCACATATGGTGTCCAGGGCACAGCTGGGGGCTGAGGGGGGTCTGTAGCAAGCGGCAACAGTGAGAGACTTATTTCTGGAAAGGTGGATTTTTAGAAGTAGAAGCTCAAACTGTTTGGGCACAGACCTGGATAGTATGATAGAGCTCTGCAGGCTATCTCTACAGTAGATTGCAACTCCACCCCCTTTGGCAGTTCTATCTAGACGGAAAATGTTGTAGTTGGGGATGGAAATTTCAGAATTTTTGGTGGCCTTCCTGAGCCAGGATTCAGACACTGCTAGAACATCAGGGTTGGCAGAGTGTGCTAACGCAGTGAATAACTCAAACTTAGGAAGTAGACTTCTGATATTTATGTGCAAGAAACCAAGACTTTTGCGATTACAGAAGTCAACAAATGATAGCTCCTGGGGTGTAGGAGTGATACTGGGGGCTACAGGGCCTGGGTTAGCCTCTACATCACCAGAGGAACAGAGGAGGACTAGAATAAGGATACGACTAAAGGCTTTAAGAACTGGTCTTCTAGTGCGTTGGGTACAGAGAATAAAGGGGGCAGTTCTCCGGGCATTGTAGAAAAGATTCAGGGCATTATGTACAGACAAGGATATGGAAGGACATGAGTAAAGTGGAGGTAAACCTAAGCGTTGGGTAACACTGAAAGAGATAGTATCTCTAGAGGCATCAATTGAGTCGGTTTCTGAGTGTATTGGTGGAGGGACAAAGGAGCTAACTAAGGCATGTTTAGCTAGGCTGGGGGGTCTACAGTGATATAGTACAATTAGAAATAACCGAAACAACAATAAACTAACCATGTTTGGGCTGAGGCTAAACATAAACAGGATGTAGTACCGTAAAAAGGAACAGTCCAGCAGATATCAGCTGTATAGCTGAGTTATCATAAGGTCCGGTGGTGAAACACTAGTAAGAGGCCACGGCTAGCGTGTGCTAGCGGGCCAGGGCTAGCAGATGGATGGAATCTTCGTGGTTAACGTCGTAACCACATCAGACGATTTCGTCGGCAGACCAGTCGTGTAGGATCGGCGGGGCTCCGTGTCAACACTAGGTGGTCCCGTCCGGTTGACAGAGAGGTAGATAGCCGGGAGATGGGCCTAGCTCAGGTTGATTAGCCAGACCACAGCGTCCGTTTTGTTGTAGCCAGCTGGTGGCGATGAATCCGGAGTTAAAGGTCCAGTGAATCAGTGATTCCGCGGAAGAACTGATATGTTCTGGGTCGATAACGCGCTGTGCAGACTGGCCGAATATCCGGTGATCAATGTCCAGTGATTAAAATTAATCCCGCGGAAAAAATCCAATGTTCTGGATGAAAACACCTTAGCTGTGGCTAAAAGCAAATAGCAAGTAGCTAGTTAGCTGGCTAGCTAGTTTCAACTGGAGATTCTAGATTCTAGATAAAGGTAAGTCAATAATAGAATCCGTTCCACATTGAGTGAGGCGGGTTGCAGGAAAGTATATCTTGTAGAAGGATGAAAAGTCTGATAGGGAAATATGTACGAAAAATGTACGAAAATAGAGTATTTACAGGCTATTTACAGACAGACGATAAAAAAACAACTGCACTACCTCGCCATCTTGGAAGAAGATGGGGAGGAGGAAGGCCTCAGAGGGGTACCTGATAAATCTCACTGTCATTCTCCCTCTAAACTCTACTCACCAAATCTCCCTCTATTACATTCATCTTGCCTTCTCTTTCTGAACTCATGTGTCTTTACTTTCCTCTCTTCTTCTTAGTTCTTTCTGCTGTTCTTTCTATCTCATTTACATTTTTACATTTTAGTCATCTTATCCAGAGCGACTTACAGGAGCAATTAGGGTTAAGTGCCTTGTTCAAGGGCACGTCGACAGATTTTCACCTAGTCGGCTCGGGGATTAGAACCAGCGACCTTTCGGTTACTAGCACAACGCTCTTAACCACTAAGCTACCTGCCTATCTCAGTGTGAGTCTAAGTGGAGAGCGCTAGTCCCAATCTCTCTCCGTCAATACACACTTTGATCCTAGTCCAAAACTGCACACACACACACACACACACACACCATAATCTTCAATGAATGTTGTCAAGGCAACAACCCTTCTATCCTCCATCCTGCTTAGAGGACAGGTGGGACCTGTTATTCAGATCTAAGGGAGTAGTTTGTCCTGTTCAGATCTAGGGGAGGAGTTTGTCCTGCTCAGTTCTAGGGGAGGAGTTTGTCCTGCTCAGTTCTAGGGGAGGAGTTTGTCCTGCTCAGTTCTAGGGGAGGAGTTTGTCCTGCTCAGTTCTAGGGGAGGAGTTTGTCCTGCTCAGTTCTAGGGGAGGAGTTTGTCCTGCTCAGTTCTAGGGGAGGAGTTTGTCCTGCTCAGATCTAGGACCTGGATTTTGTGGAACAACTCCTGACCAGTGTTGGGATTATTTACTTGAAAAAGTAATGTTACATATTACTCATTACATTTAACAAAAGTAACAAGTTATTTTACAAAATTACTTTGTGTGGAAAGTAACAAGTTATATTATTTTGCGTTACTTTTATGAAAAAACATTTCTAAATTTGTTTGACTGTGGAGGGAGCAGGGCGAGCTCTACCAAAGATGGAAAGTAGCCTAACTCAGGTTTGATCACTAGTTTCTCCTTTCATCTGTGGTGCTGCTTTGCTGCGCTACCAGTTCAGGTTATAGACCGCATGTACACGGACCCATAGAGATGTATAGAGGGCACACTTGCCACTAGACGGGAATGTCCACTATGGGCTTTGCTATCACAGAAACGATCAATGCAAAGATCAGAGATGCCCCCTTTATACATTTCTATGGACAGCAGCTGTCATGACATTTCTCCAAACAGCCTTTCTCCGCTTGCTTGAGAACTAAATGAGGAAACAAGTCAAGAGCAGATCGTGGAAACACGCACCCGGTAGAGATATGATTCTAAACATAACGCACGCGTTCTTTGACAAAGTAACTGTAATAATATTACCCAATTTGAAAAAGTTACGCGTTACTTTACTCCATTACTCAAAGTAATCACAAACAACGTTATGTAATCAGATTACTTTTACAACACTGCTTTTGACCCAGTACTCAGAGGCCCACTATGCTAATATGTTTTCTTTATCACAATATTGATAATGATGATTAGTGAGGGCAATGATGATGACGATTATGATGATGATGATGTTGGAGAGGACAGAATTATGAAGATGATGCTAATCATCATGATGATATGAGAACAATGATGCTCAACACATGTCCCTTCCCCTTACAGTAACTGAAACCTCCCACCAGAGGTGAACCATTATAACAACAGTCAACGCTGACTGTAGAAGGCCAGATGGTGCCATTGATGATCACAATGAGGATTCATTACCATAAGTGGGAGAGTGTGAATGTGCGTGAATGAGATAGAGAGAAAGAAAAGTGGGGAGAGAATGTTAGGAGTGAGAGAGAGGAAGAGAGAAAGTTTAAGAGCGAGAGGGAGATACGGATAAAGCGAGTGATGAGAGAGACAGAGTAATAATCAATGGTGACACACAGGGGAGCAGTAGGCTATGATTGCTGCTTAATTTCCTGGCTTACCAAAGGGCAGAAAAACCTGCTGCTTTCTTTCACTCCCTCCCTTTCCCTATCCCTCCTCTTTCCCTATCCCTCCTCTTTCCCTCTTTCCCTATCCCTCCTCTTTCCCTCTTTCCCTATCCCTCCTCTTTCCCTCTTTCCCTATCCCTCCTCTTTCCCTATCCCTCCTCTTTCCCTCTTTCTTCTTCTCTCATTCACTTTCTCTCCCTTAGTCAGTCCCCTTCTATGCTCCCTCTCTTTTCTGCCTTTATTTTCCCCCTCCCTCTCCCAGGTCTTCCCTCATACTATCCCGCTCTTTCTCAAACTCCCGCTCTCCCTCTCGTTCTCAAACTCCCCCGCTCTCCCTGACCCCACTCTCCTTCTCCAGGCCTTCCCTCTCTCTCTCAAACTTCCCCTCGCTTCCTGACCCCACTCTCCCTCATTCCAATCCCCCCACTCCCCCAGTCTAACGCTCGACCTTTACTTTTCCGGTCCCTCTCTCTCGATGCAGAGTCAGCTCTTCCACTCTGCAGTTCACTGCAGCTACACAACGCACTTTTCACACTGTTTCAACCATTCTGCTGACACACACACAAAATCATTGAGGTGTGAAACACATTTATAATGTGCATAAATATATACTGTAGGCATTTCACATACTGTAGATCCACTCAAATATGCACATACATTTTAGTGCCAATAGTTGTATAGATATGTTTAATACATATAAAATACATTATGAGAGCACAGGCTTACACATAGAAATAAGAATAAATAGAATGTGCTTGGAACATCTAACCCTGGCAATTTGACTGGTAAACTAATGGGTACACTCCCAATGGCTGCCTGGTATTGTGTAATAATTTCCATGGTAATGTAGAATGTTTGTTCAAATGATCTTAACTGATGTGGCTCATGCAATACTCAGAGTCGATATTCACGTCATAAAGAATTCCCCTCGACCACGCCGACAAATTGGGTAAAACAAACATTCTTTCCCATTGACTCCCATTGTAAAAGAGCAAACTTCATTGTAGATTTTTAGTTAAAGAAATAACAAAAACATGCCGAAAAGCTGCTGTGTTGTTCAATGTAAATGTAACCAGGTACAAAATCCCGACCTATGTGTTGCAATGCTCCCACGTAGGGAAATAGAGCCTGTGAGAAGAGCCGTGTGGCTTCAAGCTATTCCACCCGGTGTCCATGTAGGCTACACGTAACTATGTGTGTGGGAAACATTTCATCACAGGTAAGACATTTAACTTGTTTAGTATTGGCTTTTTTGTAACTCCACTCACTACTTGTAGCTGTACAGTCCATTTGTTTGTGTTGTTGGTCTCTGCCATCTTAACGTTCCGGTTGGTAGCTAGCACTCACATGGCTGTTAGCAACGTCATGAAAAGGGGCATGAGGAAAATGTAAAATGTAAATGAAAGCCCTACAATATGTTTTTCTAAGTAGTGAGAATGCTCAGGAGCAGGCAACATTGAAAAGTAATATTTAGTTCGTTCTGTAATTTACTAAATTAAGCAGACAAGACAATTGCCTCAGGACCAAATAGGGGAGCAGCACACACCCACACACACACACACACGGCCTGATAATTAAGGCATTAATAAGAGTGTGTGGTCATGGATCATTTTAGTGTTCTTAAAGCAGGGCGAACTGGCCTGTATATTGATCACTCTGTCATACTGTAGTTCTCACTGCTTAAATCAAAGCCATCCGTCTCCCTCCAGACCCATACTAATACATGGATTTCTCTTTATTAGTCAGGCAACATAACCCTGGGCAGAAAAGAGCTGTAGTTGTTCCCTCACACAAGTACACACACACACACACACACCTTTGATTAATGCATGACTTCAGGCAGTGTAGCTAGTGTTTGTGTGTGCAGAGAGAGAGAAGGATAGTAGTAATTCTCCATTTCACCAGAACAAAAAAGTTACTCCCTCTTGAAAACCCACTACTCTATAAGATGTATGTAGCTGGGGCATGATGAGGCCATGGGTTATAGCTAGGGTTGCAGATCTACTGGTCATTTATTTACCAAAGTTATTGGAATCTATGGTAACTTTGGTAATTTATACTTTAATAACTTACTTTTTTGTATAAATATTTTATATCTGTGTCCATATTCTCCATGAGTTTCTAGTGGATAGACCATATGGTTCAAGAGAAAATAGCCTAATGAATGAAAAAAGCATGTAATTAACAATGACGTTATTATCAATTAACTTTGCAACTCTTCCAACTATTGTCTTTTTTCAAAACATGTCGTTTCGCCCCAAAACATTTACAAAAAGACTGACACAGTAAAATAAATAAGTGTGTAAAAACATTGAAGTGATATTTCATGCTGAAACCCTAATATTAAAACAAAAAATGATAATTCAACAAGTTGATGGTTTATATTTAGGATCCATTTTACAGCAGTCATTCCATTTTAAAATGTTTTGTTATATATTTTACATGTGATAAGTCCCACAGAAGGCCAGAGATACAGTCATTACAGACACCGGTGATAATCTGAAGTACCACTCGATGTCATCTGATAAAATTCCATCTGATAGTCCCGTGTAGCTCAGTTGGTAGAGCATGGCGTTTGCAACGCCAGGGTTGTGGGTTCGATTCCCACGGGAGGCCAGTATGAAAATGTATGCGCTCACTAACTGTAAATCGCTCTGGATAAGAGCGTCTGCGAAATGACTAAAATGTAAAACTTGATAAAATTACATATATTCCTTGGGGGGAGGGGGGATTCCTAGGCAACTAAAGACTCATTTTCTACAACACCTTCGGACTTCCCAACTCTGACGTCACCCCATTGAAGTTTACATTTTTAAAATGGTTAAAGGAGAATCTTTTTTACAACCAAATCTCTTTTGTTGATGTAAATGGCATGTTATAGAAGGGCCCATTCACTTTTTTAGCGAGTTCACTTGTTGAGAAACTTACCCCAACCAGCGATTCATTTCCTCATCCTTGTTGTGCAGTTTGGCAGGCTCTGAAAAACACCCAAATACAGTGCATTCGGAAAGTATTCAGACCCCTTCGACACATTTTGTTAAGTTACAGACTTATTCTAAAATGGATTAAATAAAAACAAATCCTCAATCTACACACAATACTCCATAATGACAAAGTGAAAACAGGTTTTTAGAAACTTTAGCAAATTCATAAAAAATTAAAAAACTGGAAATACCTTATTTACATAAGTATTCAGACTCTTTGCTAGTCAGGATCGAGGGAAAGATTAACGGACCAAAGTACAAAGAGATCCTTGATGAAAACCTGCTCCAGAGCGCTCAGGACCTCAGACTAGGGCGAAGGTTCACCTTCCAACAGCACAACAACCCTAAGCACACAGCCAAGACAACGCAGGAGTAGCTTCGGGACAAGTCTCTGAATGTCCTTGAGTGGCCCAGCCAGAGCCCAGACTTGAACCCGATCGAACATCTATTGGAGAGACCTGAAAATAGCTGCGCAGCAACGCTCCCCATCCAACCCGAACAAGCTTGAGAGGATCTGCAGAGAAGAATGGGAGAAACTCCCCAAATACAGGTGTGTCAAGCTTGTAGCGTCATACCCAAGAAGACTTGAAGGTGTAATTGCTGCCAAAGGTGCGTCAAGAAAGTACTGAGTAAAGGGTCTGAATACTTATGTAAATGTAATATTTCCGTTTTGTTTGCAAACATTTCTAAAAACCAGTTTTTGCTTTGTCATTATGTGTTATTGTGTGTAGATTAATGAGGGGGAAAAAACAATTTAATACATTTTAGAATAAGGCTGTAATGTAACATAATGTGGAAAAAGTCAAGGGGTCTGAATACTTTCCGAAAGCACTGTATGTCCTTTTTGAAATGGAATTGCTCTCCGTATAGTGATGCAGCTCTTTAGACGTTGTACACATAACATTGTAATTCCGACCTTTATCCGCAATGTTATATTCCATTTTGTTGCAACTCGAGAGATACCTCACCGTCCATTCTACAGGTAACTGCCAAAATAAAGGAAACACTTGAGTAAATGAGGGATACAAAGTATATTGAAAGCAGGTGCTTCCACACAGGAAGTTCAAGATACTTGTAGACTTTATGCCAAAGGCAAGTTTCCTTTATTATGGTAGTTACCTGTAGCAGCAGGCTACACAGAACAGAACAGCTGGATAGAGGAAATGGCTCAAGTCGCACAAAATAGAATATAACGTTGCGGACAATTTCACGTGTCCAACTTCTAAAGACCTGCATCACTATAGTGACCGTTTCCGTTTCTAAAATGGTGTATTTGGGTGTTTTTGGAGCATATGTTAATATGTTTTTTCAGAGCCCCAGTACTGCACAACGAGGATGAGGAAATGAAATCGCTGGTTGCGGTAAGTTTCTCAAAAACAAGGGAAAATGAAAAAAGGTGTCTGGACCCTTCTATAACATGGCATTTGCATAATTTTTTTTTTTAGATTTGGTTAAAAAAATAAAATAAAAATAAAAATAAAAATATCCTTTAAGGTAAGGGTTATGGTTTAGGGTAGGGACATCCCAAGGATCCAGGAATGTGCTAACCCTTGTTTCAGCAAGAGGCAACAAAGTTTAATCATGTTACCTCAGAAACTGACTCAAACGCACGAATGCCCGGCCGTCCTGTCTTCAGTCTATTTTTTCTCTTTTAAACCCACCCGGTTATGACAGTTATTTTATTTTTATGACGGTATTCATCCATAACCGTCATTTCCACAGTAATTGTGCCAGCCTTACTTCAACCTGTTACTGACATACACACACCTATGTCACTATACTTTCTGGGGACCAAGAATTTATTCCCATTCAAAAAATAAAATCCCCTAATCTTAAACCTACCTAATCCCTTAGCCTAAAATTGCCTTTTTACAAGTGAGGACCAGCAAAATGTTCTCACTTATCTTAATTTTAGTTGGTTTGCTATTCTTGTGAGGGCTACTGGTACTCACACGTATAGTAAAACGTACACACACACACACACACACACACACACACACACACACACACACACACAGCATCATAAAAAAAACACTTTGAAGCCTTCACAATGAGACAGACAGATGGTGTTGTTGTTTAATTGATGGCATTATTAATGGGGGGGGGCGGGGGGATTAGGACCCACCTTGAATGTGTTTAATACGGTTCAGTAGGTATTATTATTGTTTAATAATGTTTTAATACGTTAGGATGTGGTGATAATCATAATGGTTGTTTGGGTTTACCAGATAGAAAGTCCCGGGGTGGAGCCTGAGTGTAGGGATACCCTGACCCTGGGGACAAACCACACAACACAGTTAGGGAAAGAGTGTGTGTGTTCATGGGTGTGTGCATGCGGGAAGGCATATCTATCTATCTCACAGTACAGTACATATTTCAATACAAAGCAGTGTTTTCATGATGTGACCAGGAAGAACCCCTGGCCCTACATATCACATACAGGTAACTGCCAAAATAAAGGAAACACTTGAGTAAATGAGGGATACAAAGTATATTGAGAGCAGGTGCTTCCACACAGGTGTGGTTCCAGAGTTAATTAAGCAATTAACATCCCATTATGCTTAGGGTCATGTATAAAAATGCTGGGCAGGCCATTATTTTGGCTACCATGGCTATGGCCCCATAGGATGACAATGCCCCCATCCACAGGGCACGAGTGGTCACTGAATGGTTTGATGAGCATGAAAATGATACAAACCATATGTGCCGTCTCAGTCACCAGATCTCCACCCAATTGAACATTTATGGGAGATTCTGTAGCGGCGCCTGAGACAGCGTTTTTCCACCTCCATCAACAAAACACCAAATTATGGAATTTCTCACGGAATAATGGTGTCTTCATCTCTCCAATAGAGTTCCAGACACTTGTAGAATCTATGCCAAGGTGCATTGAAGCCATTCTGGCTCATGGTGGCCCACGCCTTATTCAAAACACTACGTTGGCGTTTCCTTTATTTTGGCAGATACCTATATGTGTATGTTTAAATCCACCACGGCTCTTCAGGATGGCTGGGACCTAAGAGGAGAGTCAGTGGTCAAGGAGAAACAGAGGCAGAACAAACAAGAGACACTGAGTTAACAAACAAGAGAGCAAGAGAACAGAGGGACGGATAAGAGAGGGAGGAGGCTAGGGAGCAATATTGCAGGAGAGAGAGAGAGAGAGAGAAAGAGGATGATAAGCTCAGAGGAGACAAAGTAGAAATACAGCAAGAGAAAAAAAGAGGGAGGTACTGAAAGAAAGAGGTAGAGAGGAATTGAGGGAGAAATACTGCAAGAGAGTGAGAGACAAAAGGAGGAGAGGGAGGAAAAAAAAGAGAGGATATGGAAATCAGCGATCCTGCAAGAGAGAGAGGAAGGTAGGTAGTTCAATATTGTGTAATGACTGACTTGGCAGAGTACAGCTACATTCTAAGCTAGGAGAAACAGAGGCAAATAAATCAAAAGAAACAGAATGCTGCAGCCTGCCTGGTGTTCAACCTTCACAAATTCTCCCATGTCACCCCGCTCTCCTCCGTACACTCCACTGGCTTCCAGTCGCAGAGCGCACCCACTACAAGACCATGGTGCTTGCCTACGGAGCAGCAAGCCCCTCCCTACCTTCAGGCTCTGCTCAAACCCTACACCCCAAACCGTTCTGCCACCTCAGGTCTCTTGTACTCCCAACCCTACGGCTCCCGCTCAGCCTAAATCAAATCAAGCTTTATTTATACAGCACATTTCAGACATGGAATGCAACAGAATGGGCTTCACAGAAAAAAATGAATACACTGAACAAAAATATAAAAACGCAACATGCAACAATTTCAAAGATTTTACTGAGTTACAGTTCATATAAGGAAATCAGTCAATTGAAATAAATTCATTAGGCCCTAATCTATGGAATGACTGGGAATACAGATATGCATCTGTTGGTCACAGATACATAAAAAAAAAAAGTAGGGACGTGGATCAGAAAACCAGTCAGTATATGGTGTGACCACCATTTGCCTCATGCAGCGCGACACACCTCCACATAGTTGGAGGTGTGTCGCACAGCCATTGAAGAGGAGTGGGACAACATTCCACAGGCCACAATCAACAGCCTGATCAACTATGTGGAGGTGTGGGAACTGGAAAATGCTGTCATACACGTCGATCCAGAGCATTCCAAACATGCTCAATAGGTGACATGTCTGGTGAGTATGCAGGCCATGGAAGAACTGGGACATTTTCAGCTTCCAGGAATTGTGTACAGATCCTTGCCACATAGGGCTGTGCATTATCATGCTGAAACCTGAGGTGATGGCGGCGGATAAATGGCACGACAATGGACCTCAGGATCTCGTCATCTGCCCGGTACAGTTGAAACCGGGATTCATCTGTGAAGAGCACACTTCTCCAGCGTGCCAGTGGCCACCGAAGGAGAGCATTTGCCCACTGAAGTCAGAACTGCAGTCAGGTCAAGACCCTGGTGTGGATGACGAGCACACAGATGAGCTTCCCTGGGACGGTTTCTGACAGTTTGTGCAAAAATTATTTGGTTATGCAAACCAACAGTTTCATCAGCTGGGCTCAGACAATCCAGCAGGTGAAGAAGCCGGATGTGGAGGCCCTGGGCTGGCCTGGTTACACGTGGTCTGCGGTTGTGAGGCCGTTTGGACGTACTGACAAATTCTCTGAATGAACATTACATTCTCTGGCAACAGCTCTGGTGGACATTCCTGCAGTCAGCATGCCAATTGCACGCTCCCTCAAAACTTGACACATCTGTGGCATTGTGTTGTGTGACAAAACTGCACATTTTAGTTGCCTTTTATTGTCCCCAGCACAAGCTGCACCTTCGTAATGATCATGCTGTTTAAATCAGCTTCTTGATAATCCATCCACCGGACAGGTGGGGAATATCCAGGGAAAGGAGAAATGCACACTAACAGGAATGTAAACAAAACAAATGTGCACAACATTTGAGAGAAATAAGCTTTGTGCGTATTGGAACATTTCTGGGATCTTTTATTTCAGCTCATGAAACATGGGACCACACATTACATGTAGCATTTATATTTTTGTTCAGTATAAAAAACAATTTAAATAAAAACTGAAAAACACTACATAGCCAAAAGTATGTGGACACCTGCTTGTCTTACATCTCATTCCAAAATCATGGGCTTTAATAATGAGTTGGTCCCCACTTTGCTGCTATAACAGCATCCACTCTTTTGGGATTGCTTTCTACTAGATGTTGGAACATTGCTGTGGGACTTGCTTCCATTCAGCCACAAGAGCGTTAGGGAGGTCGGGCACTGATGTTGGCCGGTTAAGCCTGGCTCGCATTGGCTTTCCAATTCATCCCAAAGGTGTTCGATGGGGTTGAGGTCAGGGCTCTGTGCAGGCCAGTCAAGTTTTTCCACACTGATCTCAACAAACCATTTCTGTATGGACCTCGCTTTGTGCACAGGGGCTTTGTCATGTTGAAACAGCAAAGGGCCTTCCCCAAACTGTTGCCACAAAGTTGGAAGCACAGAATCGTCTAGAATCTCATTGTATGCTGTAGCGTTACGATTTCCCTTCACTTAAACTAAGGGGCCTAGACCGAACCTTTTAAAAACAGCCCCATACCATTATTCCTCCTCCACCAAACTTTACAGTTGGCACTATGCATTCGGGCAGGTAGCGTTCTCCTGGCATCCGCCAAACCCAGATTCGTCCGTCGGACTGCCAGTTGGTGAAGCGTGATTAATCACTCCAGAGAACGCGTTTCCACTGCTTCAGAGTCCAATGCTGGCGAGCTTTACACCACTCCAGCCGACACGTGCATTGCGCTACGAGTTTCAGCACTCGCCGGTCCCGTTCTGTGAGCTTCTGAGGCCTACCACTTCGCGGCTGAGCCGTTGTTGCTCCTAGACTTTTCCACTTCACAATAAGAGCACTTACAGTTGACCGGGGCAGCTCTAGCAGGGAAGAAATTTGACAAACTGACTTGTTGGAAAGGTGGCATCCTATGACGGTGCCATGTTGAAAGTCATGGAGCTCTTCAGTACGGGCCATTCTACTGCCAATGTTTGTCTGCAACGAGTGTGGCTGAAATAGCCAAATCCACTAACTTGAAGGGGTGTCCACATTTACGACACAACAAACATAAGAACGACTAAAAAGCACCCTGAGGAAAAGCAAAGCTAAAAAGGTGTGTTTTAAGATCTCTTTTAAATATGTCCACAGTTCCGGCCCCACTCAGGTTCTCTGGCAGGCTATTCCAGAGGCTGGGAGCATAAAAACTCAAGGCTGCCTCTCTATGCCTCTTGGTCCCAGGCTTTGGGATAGTTAAAATGCCAATGCCAGAGGACCTGAGGGAGCATGTCTGACATGTATTAGGGTGCACAGTCGTGGATTGATTTAAAAACCGATAGAAGAATCTTCATTTATTCTATAAAAAACTCACAGGCAGCCAGTGCAGAGCCCAGTCCAAGTGCTTTTCTGTCCTGGCACCCCAATGGTGGAACCAGCTTCCCCTTGAAGCTAGGACAGCAGAGTCTCTGCCCATCTTCTGAAAATATCTGAAGCCCTACCTCTTCAAAGAGTATTTTAAATAACCCCCCCCCCCCCCAACTAACACTTGGCTCTTTTCCCCATTACTAGCTCTGACTTTGCTGATAGCTACTTTGAGGGAAAATGTACTGACTATGACTGTGATGTGGTTGTCCCACCTAGCCATCTTAAGATGAATGCACTAATTGTATAAGAGCGTCTGCTAAATGACTAACATGTAAACAAAGAAAGACAGAAGAGAAAGGAGGCTAGGGAGCAACATTGCAGGAGTGAGAGAGAGAGAGAGAGAGAGAGAGAGAGAGAGAGAGAGAGACAGAGACAGAGAGAGACAGAGAGAGAGAGACAGAGAGAGACAGAGAGAGAGAGACAGAGAGAGACAGAGAGAGAGAGACAGAGAGACAGAGAGAGAGACAGAGGAGGATAAGCACAGAGAGAAGACAAAGGAGCAATACAGCAAGAGAGAGAAAAGAGGGAGAGAGGTAGAGACTGGAATTGAGGTAGAAATACCACAAGACAGGGAGAGGTAGAAAGAAGGAGAAAAAGACGGAAAGCAAATCAGCAAGTGAGAGGGCGGTAGGTAGTTCAATATTGCGTAATGGCTGACTTGGCAGAGTAGAGCTACACTCTATAAGCTATTCACAATGAGAGTGCCCCATTAACACACATCAAAGCACAAACTCAAACACACTCAGGGTTGTATGCTACAAGTGAGGACAGAAACCCATGCTAGCACATTCATCTTCACCCAGGTTGAGTCATTCAGAGGTGTGTGTGTGTGTGTGTAGGTGAGGGATGGAGGGGGATAGACACATGTTCTAGATCACAAATAATGACTAATTAATCAAACAAAAACACTCCAATCATGGGACATTATAATGTATGCATGCACACACACAGGTATTTGACTTTAGCACAGGACTCCGTGTCCCTTCTGTCATGTATAAATGGGTGCACATACATCGTATTACGCGACGCTAGCTCAATCAATTCACAGTAAATCTCCTATATAATATTAGTGTACTGGTAATGTCAAAACTGAATAAACCTTATAATAGAAAGTGAAGGACAGGCAGAGAGTGGGAGGAGTCTTTACTGTGGGAACTAAAGCAGAAAATTTGAGACGAGGAGAAAAGACTAGAGAGAAAATGTGTGTGTGTGTGGATTGGCCTGTCAGTGTGTAAAGCTCTCAGCTCACTGGTGATTAGTGTAATAACTCAGGAACAGGGGCTCAGAGTGAAGGATGGAGGGAGAGAGAGGAGGAACAAACAGAATAATGCATCAACAACCCTCCCGTCAGCAAACATGTTGTTCTCCTCCACTCCCTCTCTCCTCTTCTGCAGAAAGAAATAAACAGATTATATTTCAGAAGATAAGGAGAGAGGGAGGGGAGAGTGAGGGAGGGGGGTGGAGGGGTCAAGGGAGCTGTGACGTCTCACAGACATGAAGGATGGCGGAGAACAACAGTGGAGTGAAGACAGGAGAGTTGGAGAGTAAGGGAATAAGAATGAAACAGAGACAAGTAGAGAGATGAGGGAAAAAGGAGGGATGGAAAGGAAGAAAGGAAATATAGTTCACATGTTGTCAACAATCCTTTGATTGTAAGCCAACCCCACCTGTTAAATTGTACATTTTAGTAATTTAGCAGACGCTCTTATTCAGAGCGACTTACAGGAGCAATTAGGGTTAAGTGCCTTGCTCAAGGGCACAGACAGATTTTTCACCTAGTCGGCTCAGGGATTAGAACCAGCGACCTTTCGGTTACTGGCACAACGCTCTTAACCACTAAGCTACTTGCCGCCCACAGGTATTCACAGGCCCTAGTCCCCTTGGTTACCTGTGTGTGTGTGTGTGTGTGTGTGTTCCATCCTGACTTGGCCAGTAGGAGAATGTGAGTGACGTACACCCCCCCCCCCCCCCCCACAGTGCGTCAGCATAGCGTCCCGACAGGACACACTCATGTGTTTCACATGAAAATTCAAAGTGTGTACACAGTATGATTTTTTTTTTAAAGGGACAAAACAGCATGGTGTCTTAAGTGCATGACTAACTAAGCATTGGCATCAACTCCAAGTTAAGAGACAATTTTTAAGAGAAGAAAACAAACATGCCGACCTAAAAGAAAGAGAAGGACTCAAATAAGTATAAAGGCAGTTTCATTTTTCAACAGTGCTGAGAAATAGCAAGTGGAAACTCTTAGGAAATCTGGGTCTTTCTGATGGTTGTGTACAGTACAGCATGTGTTTGTTCTATCAAAGCAGTGCAAAATAAAGTCAGGTCCAAAATGATTGGCACCCTTGATAAAGATGACCAAAAAAGCCTGTATAAAATAAATACAAAGACTGAGCAATATTGTATGCTCAAAATATTGGGATATTATATTATACTAATACAATTGCTCAGAGAAAGAGATTTTGTTTAACAAGTACTATTTTTTTCAGACGCCAAATCCACCACTAGGGTGCACACAGCCGGAGAGCTCTATTTCTATGTCATCTGACCATAGCACTGGTTCCAATCCAAATGCCAATGCCGTTTAGCAAACTGCAGGCATTTACATTTGGTGATGACATGAAAAGAGCTCTTTGGCCATGCACACCGAAGGTGGGTTTGGAATAGAAAATAGGAATCATATGCAGAAAAGAACCCCATACCTACTGTAAAATATGGTGGTGGATCTTTGATGTTATGGGGCTGTTTTTCTTCCACTGGTCCTGGGGCCCTTGTTAAGGTGAAAGGCATCATGAACTTTGCCCAGTACCAGGACATTTAAGCCAGAAACCTGGTTGCCTCTGCCAGGAGGCTGAAACTACAAGTGGATCTTCCAGCAAGATCATTTTGATCCCCATCTTTTTTAGATTACATTCGACTACTTGTTAAACAAACATTTCTAATTTCTATTAGTATACAATAATATACATTTCCCTTTTTTTCCCTCATACAATATAGCTCAGTATTTGTATTATTTATTTTATACAGTCTTCTTTGCTAATCTTTATCCAGGACCTGGCTCACTCACACACACCTCAACTTTTGCCTCTGAATTTCTATATCACAGAGGGGAGAAGAGACCATCATGTGGTCCGAGTGGAAAACAGGAGACAGTAGATAGAGTGAGAGAATGAGTGGAATAAATACAGGGAAAAGACAGGTTGTGTTCTGGCTGATGAGAGGGGAGAGGAAACAGCCGTAGTCCATCTGGGGTTGGCATGGCGATATGATGCAAGTGACAGCAGCACAGCCATGTCATCCGTTTGTTCCCATGACAACCCATTTGTCCATCTCCTGCCTGGCCCTATCAGCCTCTTCACTAGCCTGTCTATCCCAGAATGCCTTTCACCACACCACCAGAGGGGTGGGGAGAGAGACACAGACAGACAGAGAGACAGAGACAGAGATGCAGCAAGGGATGGGAAGAAGAGGGGGACTGAGGGAGGGGAGGATGATGACAGAGAGGAGGGCTGAGCAGCATGGTCGCCTGGTGCCAGCTAGTAGCCATGGTGACGTGTGGCGCCTTGCCGCGCTCCTACTGACATCACACCTGTTGCAGGGAAAAACGTGTGTGTGTGTGTGTGTGTGTAAGTTTTTGGAACCAATTAAATAACATAGTGACCCCCCTGAGTACAGAGAGGAGTTGGTGGACAGCTGGGATCTATGAATATACCCAAACACAGAGCCAAGAGCTGAGGGAGGAGGGGGGGGGGAAGAGAGCGAGCAAGGGGGGCACAGAGAGCGAGAGAGCGAGGGGGCAGAGAGAGCGGGCGAGAGAGGGGGGAGAGATAGAGGGGAGAGAGGGGGGAGAGATAGGGGGGAGAGAAAGGAGGGGGGAGAGAGAAGTGTAGAGAAAGACAGAACAGAGGAAGAGAGACTGTCACAGTGATATTCCTCTGAAAAAAACAGCTGCAGATGGTGTGTGTGTTTGAGTGGGTGTATGTGTGTGGTGTTTGAGTGCGTGTCCTAGGATGATGTACCTTCTTGGGGACATGTGACATCAATAGCAGCAGGCTTGAGTGACAGCACCCTGAGCCCCCCCCCCAAGAAGAAAGAGCGAGTGAAAGTTTCTGACTGTGTGTGTGTGTGCGTGCGTATGTGTGTTGTGACAGCTAGTCCAGTCAGCTCGTCTCTGAATATTTCATGCCTGTTCTCATGGCTGAGCTCTTTTAACAGAATTCATTACACAACAATCCCCCATTTCTCACACACACACACACACACCGAACATACACTACATTACCAAAAGTATGTGGACACCTGCTCGTCGAACATCTCATTCCAAAATCATGGGCATTAATATGGAGTTGATCCCCCCCCCCCTTTGCTGCTATAACAGATGATTTTCACTCGCTACGTGCTTCAGCACTCGGTTGTCCCGTTCTGTGTGCTTGTGTGGCCTACCACTTCGCGGCTGAGCCGTTGTTGCTCCTAGACATTTCTACTTCACAATAACACCACATACAGTTGACCTGGGTAGCTCTAGCAGGGCAGAAATTTGACAAACTGACTTGTTGGAAAGGTGGCATTCTACGACGGTGCCATGTTTGTCTATGGCGATTGCACGGCTGTGAGCTAGATTTTATACACCTGTCAGCAACCGGGTGTGGCTGAAATAGCCAAATTCAATCATTTGCAAGGGTGTCCACATACTTTTGTATATATATATATATATATATATATATATATATATATATATATATATATATATATATATATATATATATATATATATATACACACACACACACACTTGTGTAAGCACTACTTCACATTTCTCCCTCTCTTAACCGCAATCTGGAGTGGATGGCCTTAAATCAGTTTTTTTAAAATTACATCTCCAAAATGTCAAAATAATTAACGTAATTAAAATCGGTTGTGAACTTTTGATTAGTAAAACAGTAAAATAAGACTATCAAGCTATCATATCCTAATAATATCAAAAGAGAGAGAGAAACTCAGAGAATTGTGTGTGTTCCCCCGTCCTGACTGTCCCCAGCCTTGCTGACCGTAGCTGATCCTAGCTACCGTAACCAAACCTCTGTGGTTGAGATTTCACCCTGTATCCCTGGTAACGCAACACCGCGGTAACACAGAACCAGCCTGTATTATTTCAGCCTCACTCTCCCTCCCTCTTGTACTCTCTCCGTTTCTCTTTTTCAACCAAGGGTTCCGCTCTCCATCCTCCTGCTCTGTATTTCAGCCCCATCTTTGGTTGTTCTTTGGCTCAATTCTGCCCCCTGCTGGGATATCTATGCATTAGCAACCCTTCCACTTCACTTTGTGTGATATAATGTACTTGTAAAATGTGCCATATAGAAGTAAAATTTTATTGATAGGTGTTCAGTGTGTTCTTTAAATAATGCTAATTTGAAGAGACAATCCATGCTGCGATGTTCTGCTAATGTCATTACCAAACGTTCTCCTCTAGATAGGCAATTACACACACCTCAGCTATCTGTATAGAGCTGTCACATAGACAGAGGCCCATCACTGCAGCTCATCATGAACACACACACACACACACCTCCCAAGAGTGCTAGGCTAGAACAGTGTGATGAGAGGATAGAGACTCTGCAACAACATTCAGCTTCATTTACCAGGAGGAAATCAATGAGCAACATATATAATCTGTGTGTGTGTGTGTGTGTGTGTGTGTGTATATATAGTGAGAGTGAGAGTTTGTGTGAGAAAGCGAGCAATAATGAAAACAGAGATTCTGCCGAGCTAGGCAGAGGTGTCTTTTGTCGTGTGTGAGACAGTAACACAGTGACAGAATAAACCACCGTATCTCCCTCTACAGCTAATGTCACAGAGCAGAGGGTGTGTGTGTGTGTGTGTGTGTGATATCTGGTTTTAACTGGGAATGAAGAATTCATCAGTTGCATCGCGTCCCCGGTCAAAACAGAGTGGTGAGAGGTTGAAGGGAGGCTGAGAGAGAGCTTTAGCTGAGTCAACCCTATACAGCCTCAACACTGGGAACTAATCACTGAGATGGGAGCTGAGAAGCACACACACACACACACACACACACACACCTCTCCCTCAACCTCTCTTGCAGTATTTCAGATGTTCAGCCTCACACACACACACGAGATTGTCACAAATAATGACTGTGCACGCACACACACCTCTACCTTGCTGCAGAAGTGAGCAGGGAAACAAATTGCAATGAGCAGGTATTAACAGTAGAGAGCACTCCATTCACATGCAATGAGCTGTGATCGGGGCGAACTCTGACACGCAAATGAGAGTTCTGTGCTTTTTTTGGTTGTGTGTGTAGTGTAATTTGTGTGTGTTTAGTGTAAATACATGTTCCATATCAACTGTCCTGCTCTATTTGTCCTGATCTCATTAACATGCACACACATACCTGATTGGACAAAGACAGGTACTGAATGTGAATGTCCCATTTATTACCAGGAACAAGTTTAACATGTGACACTTAATCCCTTCTAGCAGGGGTCTAGGGCTGGGCGATATGGCCTAAAAATCATATCTACATTTTTTTCTAACTTATGCCCAAGTCCCAATATACACTGCGTGTACAAAACATTAAGACCCCTCCCCTCCTCCCCTCCTTTTGCCCTCAGAACAGCCTCAATTCATCGGAGCAGGGACTTTCCAAGGTGTCGAAAGCGTTCCACAGGGATGCTGGCCCATGTTGACTCCAATGCTTCCCACAGTTGTGTCAAGTTGGCTGGATGTCCTTTAGGTGGACCATTCTTGATACACAAGGGAAACTGCTGAGCATGAAAACCCAGCAGTGTTGTAGTTCTTGACACAAACGGTGAGTCTGGCACCTACTACTATACCCCGTTCAAAAGGCACTTAAATCTTTTGTCTTGTCCATTCACCCTCAGTGGCACACATACACAATCCATGTTTCAAGTGTCTTGAGGCTTAAAAATCAGTCTTTAACCGGTCTCCTCCCCTTCTACACTGATTGAAGTGGATTTAACAAGTGACATCAATAAGGGATCATAGCTTTCACCTGGTCAGTCTGTCATGGAAAGATTAGGTGTTCATAATGTTTTGTACACTAAGTGTATATCTCTATTTAAACAAGCTTTGTTGCATAATTAAAGATCAATAAAACAAGCTTTGTTGCACAATTAAAGATCAATTCACTGCATTTCAAAACAGTCAGCAATAAGCTAATGAATTCAGGGCTTGTGAAATGATACATTGGCTAAATATAAGCCTTCCACAACCATAAGACTCACTAATAATGTCATTATTTTATCAAGATAGTTTAACCTGATTTTGTTGCAGTAATCACTGATCCGGCATTCATGCCAGTCTATGAAAATGTCCTTTTTGTTACAAATTTAACCAGAACCATTCACATTCCCACTAATAATTAACAACTTCTTGTAGCAGGCATTATAGAAAATTAACACTCAATCTCTCAAGCACAAGCCCATGTGCTAGTGAATAGCCAGCTAAAATGTATATTTCAAGTCTAGCCAACTTGGATCTATTAGCTAGCAAACAAAGTAGAACTGTTATGAACACACCCTGTCCGTCTCAAACTTTTTCAACAGCATGCTAGCCTGTCCACTTTGTTTAGATGTTGAAATCAAGTGGCCTACCTGGATAAGAATATGCTTATTTCTCAGATTGAGAACGAGTTGCCAATTCCTTATATAAAAGCATATTTGTATGCTCAATGCACATTTATAAAAAAAAACTGACTAGTCAGTTGGCACATAAGTCTGTGGCAATGCCACGTGTGACAGAAACTGAGCATTAATTTTCCCGAAAATCTTTTCATTGATACTCTCACTTCAGTAGGGTCTGCTCTCTCTACATTTTGGGAGTAGATACATAAAAAGGGTATCATTAGAAAGGTTAAGATCTCCTCTATTACAGTAAACTAATGTCTCAATGTGTTTCAGTGTACATATGACCAATTCTGTTGGAACAAATCTCAAATGCAAATAGTGAGTTGGAGCTACATGTCAGAGAGGAAGACGTGATCTTTCTTCTTCGTCGTTGTAAATGTCAGCAGGAGGGGCTTGGTGTACGAGTGGGAAGGTGAACACAGCACAGAAGGAGCGAAGGAGACGAGACCAAAATGACAACATGAGAACAAGCGGACAAACGCTCATGAAAACACTATATATTTTTTTTTACTTTGATTCTTGTGATACAAGCATTTGGAATATGGTGCTAAAATACACATTTTAATTAGTTTGATTCATCACCCAGCCCTACAAGGGTCTTCAACCTTTTCTTGCCCAGGGACCCCCTCCCAGGCAAACCAGGGACCCCCATCAGACGTTAGGAGAAAAAATAAAAACACACAGTGCATTCGGAAAGTATTCAGAACCCTTCACTTTTTCCACATTGATACATTACAGCCTTATTCTAAAATTGATTAAATTGTTATTTTTCCCTCAATCTACACACAATAATCCATAATGACAAAGCAAAAACAGGTTTTTAGATAATTTTGCTAATTTATACAAATAGATATCACATTTACATAAGTATTCGCTACAAGCTTGGCACACCTGTATTTGGGGAGTTTCTCCCATTCTTCTCTGCAGATCCTCTCAAGCTCTGTCAGGTTGGATGGGGAGCGTCGCTGCACAGCTATTTTCAGGTCTCTTCAGAGATGTCGATCGGGTTTAAGTGCGGGCTCTGGCTGGGCCACTCAAGGACATTCAGAGACTTGTCCCAAAGCCACTCCTGCGTTGTCTTGGGTGTGTGCTTCCTCACAGCATGATGCTGCCACTATACCATGCTTCACCGTAGGGATGGTGCCAGGTTTCCTCCAGACATGATGCTTGGCATTCAGGCCAAAGAGTTCAAACCTGGTATTATCAGACCAGAGAATCTTGTTTCTCATGGTCTGAGAGTCCTCTAGGTGCCTTTTGGCAAACTCCAAGCAGGCTGTCATGTGCCTTTTGCTGAGGCGTGGCTTCAGTCTGTCCACTACCATAAAGGCCTGATTGGTGGAGTGCTGCAGAGATGGTTGGGCATCTGGAAGGTTCTCCCATCGCCACATAGGAACTCTGGAGCACGGTCAGAGTGACCATCGGGTTCTTGGTCACCTACCTGACCAAGGCCCTTCTCCCCCGATTGCTCTAGGAAGAATCTTGGCGGTTCCAAACTTCTTCCATTTAAGAATGGATGGAGACCACTGTGTTCTTGGGGACCTTCAATGCTGCAGAAATGTTTTGGTACCCTTCCCCAGATCTGTGCCTCGACACAATCCTGTCTCGGAGCTCTACGGACAATTCCTTCCATCTCACGGCTTGGGTTTTGCTCTGACATGCATTGTGAACTGTGGGACCTTATAGACAGGTGTGTGCCTTTCTAAATCATGTCATGTCCAATCAATTGAATTTACCACAAGTGGACTGCAATCAAGTTGTAGAAACATCAAGGATGATCAATGGAAACAGGATGCACCTGAGCTAAACAGAGAACATTTCTCCAAAAAGTACAATCTTTGTCCCCATGTGCAGTTGCAAACTGTAGTCTGGCTTTTGTTAATGGCGGTTTTGGAGCAGTGGCTTCTTCCTTGCTGAGCGGCCTTTCAGGTTATGTTAATATAGGACTCGTATCAAAAAAGTGTTGGCAAATCATTCCAGGTGAAGCTGGTTGAGAGAATGCCAAGTGTGCAAAGCTGTCATCAAGGCAAAGGGTGGCTACTTTGAAGAATCTCTAATATAAAAAATATTTTGATTTGTTTAACACTTTTTTGGTTACTACATGATTCCATGTGTTATTTCATAATTGGGTGTCTTCACTATTATTCTACAATGTAGAAAAATTTAAAAATAAAGAAAAACCCTTGAATGACTAGTTGTCCAAACTTTTGACTGGTACTGTATGTCTTATCAGGTGAATGATAATGGCAAGGAGAAGTAAACATTTTAAAATGAATAGATTTGGTAGTTTTTCATTATTTTGACCTCCCCACATAATATAAATTGGAAATTCTGCCTATTTTATTTATTTTTATTTTATTTCACCTTCATTTAACCAGGTAAGCCAGTTGAGAACAAGTTCTCATTTACAACTGCGACCTGGCCAAGATAAAGCAAAGCAGTGCGATAAAAACAACAGTGTTACATATGGGGTAAAACAAAACATAAAGTCAAAAATACAACAGAAAATATATATACAGTGTGTGCAAATGTAGCAAGTTATGGAGGTAAGGCAATAAATAGGCCATAGTGCAAAATAATTACAATTAGTATTAACACTGGAATGATAGATGTGCAAGAGATTATGTGCAAATAGAGATAATGGGGTGCAAATGAGCAAAATAAATAACAATATGTGGATGAGGTAGTTGGGTGGGCTAATTTCAGATGGGCTGTGTACAGGTGCAGTGATCGGTAAGGTGCTCTGACAACTGATGCTTAAAGTTAGTGAGGGAGATAAGAGTCTCCAGCTTCAGAGATTTTTGCAATTCGCTCCAGTCATTGGCAGCAGAGAACTGGAAGGAATGGCGGCCAAAGGAGGTGTTGGCTTTGGGGATGACCAGTCAGATATACCTGCTGGAGCGCATACTACGGGTGGGTGTTGCTATGGTGACCAATGAGCTAAGATAAGGCAGGGATTTGCCTAGCAGTGATTTATAGATGGCCTGGAGCCAGTGGGTTTGGCGACGAATATGTAGTGAGTACCAGCCAACAAGAGCGTACAGGTCACAATGGTGGGTAGAATATGGGGCTTTGGTGACAAAACGGATGGCACTGTGATAGACTACATCCAATTTGCTGAGTAGAGTGTTGGAGGCTATTTTGTAAATGACATCGCCGAAGTCAAGGATCGGTAGGATAGTCAGTTTTACGAGGGCATGTTTGGCAGCATGAGTGAAGGAGGCTTTGTTGCGAAATAGGAAGCCGATTCTAGATTTAACTTTGGATTGGAGATGCTTAATGTGACCTAGAGTATTTGTAGTTGTCCACATACTCTAGGTCAGACACGTCGAGAGTAGTGATTCTAGTCGGGTGGGTGGGTGCCAGCAGCGTTCGATTGCATTTAGTTTTACTAGTGTTTAAGAGCAGTTGGAGGCTACGGAAGGAGTGTTGTATGGCATTGAAGCTTGTTTGGAGGTTTGTTAACACAGTGTCCAATGAAGGGCCAGATGTTTACAAAATGGTGTCGTCTGCGTAGAGGTGGATCTGAGAGTCACCAGCAGCAAGAGCGACATCATTGATATACATGGAGAAAAGAGTCGGCCCAAGAATTGAACCCTGTGGCACCCCCATAGAGACTGCCATAGGTCCAGACAACAGGCCCTCCGATTTGACACATTGAACTCTGAGAAGTAGTTGGTGAACCAGCTAGGCAGTAATTTGAGAAACCAAGGCTATTTAGTCTGCCAATAAGAATGCGGTGGTTGACAGAGTCGAAAGCCTTGGCCAGGTCGATGAAGACGGCTGCACAGTACTGTCTATTATCGATCACGGTTATAATATCGTTTAGGACCTTGAGCGTGGCTGAGGTGCACCCATGACCAGCTCGGAAACCGGATTGCATAGCGGAGAATGTACGGAGGGATTCGAAATGGTCGGTGATCTGTTTGTTAACTTGGCTTTCAAATACTTTCGAAAGGCAGGGCAGGATGGATATAGGTCTGTAACAGTTTGGAACTAGAGTGTCACCCCCTTTGAAGAGGGGGATGACCGCGGCAGCTTTCCAATCTCTGGGGATCTCAGACGTTATGAAAGAGAGGTTGAACAGGCTAGTAATAGGGGTTGCGACAATTTTGGACGGCTAGTTTTAGAAAGAAAGGGTCCAGATTGTCTAGCCCAGATGATTAGTAGGGGTCCAGATTTTGCAGCTCTTTCAGAACATCAGCTGTCTGAATTTGTGTGAAGGAAAAGCAGGGGGGGCATGGGCAAGTTGCAGCGGAGGGTGCAGAGCTGGTGGCCGGGGTAGTGGTAGCCAGGTGGAAAGCATGGCCAGCCGTAGCAAAATGCTTGTTGAAATTCTCGATTATTGTAGATTTATCGGTGGTGATAGTGTTTCCTAGCCTCAGTGCAGTGGGCAGCTGGGAGGAGGTGCTCTTATTCTCCATGGACTTTACAGTGTCCCAAAACTTTTTGGAGTTAGTGCTACAGGATGCACATTTCTGTTTGAAAAAGCTAGCCTTTGCTTTCCTAACTGCTTGTGTATATTGGTTCCTAACCTCCCTGAAAAGTTGCATATCGCGGGGGCTATTCGATGCTAATGCAGTACGCCACAGGATGTTTTTGTGCTGGTCAAGGGCAGTCAAGTCTGAGGAGAACCAGGGGCTATATCTGTTCTTAGTTCTGTATTTTTTGAATGGGGCATGTTTATTTAAGATTGAGAGGAAATTACTTTTAAAGAACAACCAGGCATCCTCTACTGACGGAATGAGATCGATATCCATCCAGGATACCTGGGCCAGGTCAATTAGGAAGGCCTGCTCGCTAAAGTGTTTTAGGGAGCGTTTGACAGTGATGAGGGGTGGTCGTTTGACCGCGGACCTGTTACGGACGCAGGATATAAGGCAGTGATCGCTGAGATCCTGGTTGAAGACAGCGGAGGTGTATTTAGAGGGTAAGTTAGTCAGGATGATATCTATGAGGATGCCCATGTTTATGGATTTAGGGTTGTACCTGGTAGGTTCGTTGATAATTTGTGTGAGATTGAGGGCATCTAGTTTGGATTGTAGGATGGCCGGGGTGTTAAGCATATCCCAATTTAGGTCACCAAGCAGTACGAACTCTGAGGATAAATGGGGGGCAATCAATTCAGGAGGAAACCTGGCACCATCCCTACGGTGAAGCATGGTGGTGGCAGCATCATGCTGTGGGGATGTTTTTAAGCGGCAGGGACTGGAAGTCTAGAAAGAATTGAGGAAAAGATGAACGGAGCAAAGTACAGAGAGATCCTTGATGAAATACTCCTCCAGAGCCCTCAGGACCTTAGACTGGGGCGAAGGTTCACCTTCCAACAGGACAACAACCCTAAGCACACAGCCAAGACAATGCAGGAGTGGCTTCGGGACAAGTCTCTGATTGTCCTTGAGTGGCTCAGCCAGAGCCCAGACTTGAACCCGATCGAACATCTCTGGAGAGACCTGAAAATAACTGAGTAGCAACGCTCCCCATCCAACCTGACAGAGCTTGAGAGGATCTGCAGAGAAGAATGGGAGAAACTCCCTAAATACGGGTGTGCCAAGCTTGTAGCGTCATATCCAAGAAGACTCGAGGCTGTAATCGCTGCCAAAAGGTGCAACAACAAAGTACTGAGTAAAGGGTCTGAATACTTATGTAAGTGTGAAATTTGCATTTTTTCTTTTAATAAATTAGCAACATAAAAAATAAAATAAAAAAATTGCTTTGTCATTACAGGGTATTGTGTGTAGAATTGTTGAGGGAAAAACACAATTTAATCAACTTTAGAATAAGGCTGTAACCTAACAAAATGTGGAAAAAGTCAAGGGGTCTGAATACTTTCCGAAGGCACTGTATTCAGACCCCTTGACTTTTTACACACACAGTCAAAAGTTTGGACACACCTACTCATTCCAGGGTTTCTTAATTTTTACTATTTTCTACATTGTAGAATAATAGTGAAGACATCAAAACTATGAAATAACACATATGGAATCATGTAACCAAAAAAGGGTTAAACAAATCTAAATATATTCTATATTTGAGATTCTTCAAATAGCCACCCTTTGCCTTTATGACAGCTTTGCACACTCTTGCCATTTTCTCAAACGGCTTCACCTGGAATGCTTTTCCAACTGTCTTGAATGAGTTCCCACATATTCTGAGCACTTGTTGGCTGCTTTTCCTTCACTCTGCCGTCCGACTCATCCCAAACCATCTCAATTGGGTTGAGGTCAGGGGATTGTTGAGGCCAGGTCATCTGATGCAGCACTCCATCACTCTCCTTCCTGGTAAAATAGCCCTTGCACAGCCTGGAGGTGTGTTGGGTCATTATCCTGTTGAAAAACAAATGATAGTCCCACTAAGCCCAAACCAGATGGGATGGCGTATTGCTGTAGAATGCTGTGGTAGCCATGCTGGTTAAGTGTGCCTTGAATTCTAAATAAATCACAGACAGTGTCACCAGCAAAGCACCCCCCACACCATAACACCTCCTCATCCATGCTTTACGGTGGGAACTACACAAGCGGAGATCATCCGTTCACCCACACCGCGTCTCACAAAGACACGGAGGTTGGAACCAAAAATATCAAATTTGGACTCCAGACCAAAGGACAAATTTCCATCGGTCTAATGTCCATTGCTTGTGTTTCTTGGCCCAAGCAGGTTTCTTCTTATTATTATTGGTGTCCTTTAGTAGTGGTTTCTTTGCAGCAATTCGACCATGAAGGCCTGATTCACACAGTCCCCTCTGAACAGTTGATGTTGAGATGTGTCTGTGACTTGAACTCTGTGAAGCATTTATTTCGGCTGCAATTTCTGAGGCTGGAAACTCGAATGAACTTATCCTCTGCAGCAGAGGTAACTCTGGGTCTTCCTGTCCTGTGGCGGTCCTCATGAGAGCCAGTTTCATCATAGCGCCATAATATGGACTTGGTCTTTTACCAAATAGGGCTATCTTCTGTATAACCCACCCCCAAACCCCCCACCTTGTCACAACACAACTGATTGGCTCAAACACATTAAGGAAAGAAATACCACAAATTAACTTTTAAGGCACACCTGTTAATCGAAATGCATTCCAGGTGACTACCTCATGAAGCTTGTTGAGAGAATGCCAAGAATGCGCAAAGCTGTCATCAAGGCAAAGGGTGGCTATTTGTTTAACACTTTTTTGGTTACTACATGGTTCCATATGTGTTATTTCATAGTTTTGATGTCTTCACTATTATTCTACAATGTAAAAAAGAAAGAAAGAAAAACCCTTGAATGAGTAGGTGTGTCCAAACTTTTGACTGGTAGCGCGCGCGCACACAGAAAATATAAACGCAACATGTAAAGTGTTGGTCCCATGTTTCATGAGCTGAAATAAAAGATCCCAGAAATGTCCATAGGCACAAAAAGCTTATTTCTCTCAGATTCTGTGCACAAATTTGTTTACATCCCTGTTAGTGAGCATTTCTTCTTTGCCAGGATAATCCATCCACCTGAAAGGTGTGGCATATCAAGAATCTGATTAAACAGCATTATCATTACACAGGTGCACCATGTGCTGGGGACATGTGCAGTTTTGTCACACAATGCCACAGATGTCTCACGTTGAGGGAGCACGCAATTGGCATGCTGACTGCAGGAATGTCCACCAGAGTTGTTGCCAGAGAATTTAATGTAAATTTCTCTACCATAAGCCGCATCCAACGTAGTTTGAGAATTTGGCAGTAAGTCCAACCGGCCTCACAACTGCAGACCACGTGTAACCCCTTCAGCCCAGGACCTCCACATCCAGCTTCTTCACCTGAGGGATCATCTGAGACCAGCCACGCAGACAGCTGATGAAACTGAGGAGTGCCTGTCAGTAATAAAGCCCTTTTGTGTGGAAAAACTCAGTGTGTGGGCCTGGCTTCCAAGTGGGTGGACCTATGCCCTCCCCGGCCCACCCATGGCTGCGCCCCTGCCCACTCATGTGAAATCCATAGCTTAGGGCCTAATTAATTTAAATTGACTGATTTCCTTATATGAACTGTAACTCAGTAAAATCGTTGAATGTTGTGTTAATATTTTTGTTCTATATAAAATGTATTTATTTTTTGCATACCCCTTGCAATATCTCTGCGGACCCCCAGTTGAATACCCCTGCAGCATTTAGACTGGTGTGGGGTCTTGTTTTGTGTCCCAGTACAAATAGTGTCCCTGTACACTGTGGAGATGTCCCTTTCAGTCACCCAAACACAATCACTATTATCAACAGTACATGGCATGAAGTGGCTCACACACGCACACACCCTTAGGTGTACATGCAGACACACTTGCACATACACACACTGACTGCACAAACACTCCAAAACTCTCCTCCCCAAATCCCTCCTTCAATACACTACCGTTTATTTTGTTTGTAACAATATGGTATCTGGGAAAGTTTATGTGAAGTGAGGCTTGTTTCACAGTAAGAAAGCACAGTCAGAGAGACACCTGGTCAGAGAATACGGTCTGGTTACAGTACAGTCAGCTTGAGTGGTCAGTACTCACTGCGACATTTGGCGCAGCGGCCCTTATCGTACTCCAGGAGTTCCAGGGAGCGTGAGCGTTCTGTGACCGAGCGCCTCCAACCCCCCTCCTCCCTCAGGCGAGCTGCCTCTTCTTTAGCATACACCCCCAGCTCCTGGGTGTAGCGACCATACATCTGGAAGAACACACAGAAAGGGTTAAGGGACAGCAGTAGGTAACAAACACATGGCCGGTGACACCTTAATTGTGGAGGACAGCTCATAGTAATGGCTGAAACGGAATCGAACACATCAAATACATGGTTTCCATGTGGTTGATACCATTCACTCCATTCCAGCCATTAATATGAGCTGTCCTCCCCTCAGCAGCCTCCTGTGTAACACATGCACGTACTTACAGCACAGACTGGGTATCCCACTAGAACCTGTAGTAAACCCTATAGTAAACACTATTTTACTTACAAGTACTGAAGAGGAAACTTCTAGATATCTTGTTGACTGAATGGGTCACCCCTGCACATTGCAATGGCAGTCTAACGCCTTGATCAAACCGACAATGTCATTACATCAATGCTGCGTAATAAAGTCTGCAGTCAAACTTTTTTCATTATGTAATCCAACATGTTTTGTGGATATGTGTGCAACATTCACCTTTTGCTACTATTTCTGTCAAGTCTACGGATACAATTTGTTGCATATGGTAGATAAATACAAAGTATGCACCACACAAACGCACTGCAACTGCTTCTGCAACGCAATGCTGCAAGGCAAACGCAGCGTTCCATTGAAAATGTACATACTTCTGGTGTACCAAAACGCAATGATGCCGTCAGTCTGATCGATGCGTAAGGATGGTCTACGCCTGGTCTGAAATGGATGGTCTATTTGGGTCAGTAAAAACTCCAGGCCCTATGTACAGTGTATAAGCCAGAACAACTGGCCTAAGGACAGATAGTACATTTATATATGAAAGTCGGAGGGAGAGAGACAGGGTTGGGGAGTATGCCAGCCAAGCTAGTTGTGCTGACTCTGGGTGTTTGTGTTATTACCCGACTGACTGGACCTCCTCCCAGGTTAGGGGTCAAAGGTCAGGGGTCATCGGAGTCTGCCGCCAGGCTTCTGAAGCCACCGCCCTCACCTTTACACACTCACTTATCAACAACCAGACCACAACACACATACAGGTCACCACATCAGTCACTTCACACACACAGACACTGTCACAGACACTGTCATAGATGTACACACAGGTTCCTGTAACAAGAGGACCTTCACTTTAATCTCATCTCCCATAAAAACATCCCTTATCCCACCCACACATTACACAAAGCAAGGGCATAACAAATCAATCATAGATTTATTTTCCCATTGTCCTGTGGTACACTTTGACCCCGCTTCTTGGCAGTAAGCTGGACGACCATTGGTTTCTATTGGCTTGACCCTCCAGACTGACACACACACGCTTGCCAGGTCAGCAGGAAGTAGTATCTCCTGCAGACAGGAAACAGATAGCGTCCAGACCTCAGTCCTACCACAATCCCCTGGGTGGTGTGGCGTACAGCAATAGGAAACACTCCGGACTGACTGGGAGTGGAGTGAAGTTGCCCCTAGACGCTGATCTTGGGTCAGTTTTGGTAAAGGTAAGGATTGGGGGGAGGGGAGCTGATCCTAGATCTGTACCTAGTGGAAAGTTCACCCCACCCCAGCACAGAGAGACTGACTAACCAGTCTGACCAGTCAGATCACAGATACCACTCAACAGTCCTCAACGCTGGAACCAGCATTCATCACAGGGCATTTCTGCAGCATGTACACATTTCTGCAGCATAAACACACTCCCTGATTTACAGACACTATTTTTCACTGCCTGTACCCATTCACTCACCACACACACACAATTCTAAATATCAGTACCAGTTCACCAGTCTAATATGCATGCACACATATGCAGTGGACCAAGACACAGACACACCGGATCTCACAGTGTACGCAACAGCTTTGTTCTGAACAGCGATGTTCTAAACAGGTAGAACATTCCTAAGAAAATCTCCCCTATAGTGTGAGCCCAGTGTTTGTTGGCTAAACACAGCTAGCCGGAGATAGCGCTGGGCGCTAGCTGATCCTCATCCTCCCCCAGATGACAGGGAGACATGGAGGTAGAGATGGAGGTAGCACCCAGCCTTGGCCTACTTTAGCCCCACAGCTGCCATGCCACCAAGCTACACTCAGCCACAACACCAAGCTATTTATTGACACTCAGTTTGGGAATGTGACACTGTCTAAGAAACAGTGGGAGGAGGAAAGAAAGAGTGAAATGGGGGGAGAAATTGAGAAAAATAACAGAGGAGAACTGGAAAAGACCTGTGACAAATACAGAGAGGGAAGCAGCTTTTAGCAAGGTTGAGCGATAGCAATCGAGAGCGTAATAGAAAGAGACACAAAGTATAGATGGAAAGATAAGACAGCCAGCCAGACAGACTGAGTTAGATAACCTGTGGTACATTAGGTCCAGTAGCTTGATGTTCAGATCGATAGGCAGCTGAGTACTCTGTTGACAACTTTTGTTTGTGTATGTGTGTGCCTGAACACTACAGTTGTTCGATGTGTGTAATCTGTGCATGTGTGTATTTGTGTTTGCCAGATAAGAGCACATGTGCATCTATTCAGAGGAAGGAGATGCTTGACCTTAGACAGTATGAGTCAAGAGCAGCATGATGGAGCTGATGACAAGAGTCTCAGCAGAGTAAACCCAGGCTGCTCAGCTCAGCACCGAGACATACAGCTGTAATGAGACAGGGACAGGAGGTGATGGAGTTTAGAGGGGTTGAAATGGAGGGATCAGAGGATGAACTAAACAGTCTACGTGGGTAGGAGTGTGTGCGCGCGGGCGCTACAGTACAAGTCTGCAGCATTACTTGTTAGCAAAGTCATGAAATGATTTACAAAGCACCTGATCTATAAGGAGTACATCCAAGGAGAAGGAGTTGCAGCAAGAGAGAAAGAGAAGGATTGGAAAGAATGCAAGAGCAATCAAAGAAAAGAGAATGGAGAGAGGGAATATGGGAGTGAGGAGCGGAAGGGATTGTTTTTTTACTTCAAAACACTGACTTCTATTACACAAGATTCCAAGCTGCGCTCTGCGGCTACATTGACAATCTTCAGCCCAACATTTGATTTAAGCAAAGAAACATCAAAAAACGCAGCGGAAAAGCAATAAGAGGCCCAGAAAAAAAATATGTCCGAAATAGCTTGTCACAGATGAGGATGTGGACACCCCTCAACAAACTGGAATGTACAAAGAAGACCAAAGAAGAAACAAATACACACTTCCAGAACAAAGACATGGTGAGTTGAAAACCTATCATTATGCCAAGTATAGGCAGCTCAGAAATAGGCACTCAGCTCTGCGTGCCTGGCTGGTTTAATTGATCCCATATGAATTGAAGATATGTGCTCGACTCGCCCCCCTGACCAAGGACTTAGATGGGGCAGGAGGCAGGACAAGGCCTGGGTGAGTGTATGGGCCTAGGTCAAGGGAATTACGTCTAACTGGGACTAGGCTTGGGCGGTATACCGTATACCAGGGTATTTGGAAGCCACAAGATGGTTTTTCAATACAGTTGAATATTTGTAGCTACTTTTTAAGTAAATACCTGCAGTCAACTTGTGCAATACATTAGGAGATAAAGAACATTGCATTCTTCATTTCACCGGTCACATCATTATGATGCTTACCGGTAGTCCCCAGTCCCGTGGTGTTTGTTTACAAGCACACAACGACAAGAGACTGGAGACTTGTGAGTCACTCTGTTGTGCAGCATGCACCAGGTGATCTAATTACAGTATGGAGTTCACAACTAGATGTTAGCTAAGTGGTTAGCTTCTTCTAAAAACAAACATTCACTTGGTAACAGCAGAGAATCCCCTCCTGGATCAAGAGCCTTGCTGGCTAATATTTGTTTTGTGCGTGCAGCAAACTGTGAGTAGCATTTTTGAGTTACTTGTATAGTTTAGGTCAGAACCTGTAAAAAATGTTCACAATGCGCTCATTAGAATTCAGTTAACATTCTCTATGGGATTTTACATGTACTTGTTAGCATTGCTAACGTTCGGATAAGTTTGAGTGGGGTTTGAAAACAGCGCCCCTTGTGTTCAGTGCCGGTATTACCGAATATCCCGTTATGGCACTAGGTCGGTATGAAATTCTGGATACCGCCCAAGCCTGGAACTAAGCAATGGTTGAGACGCAGGACAGTGGCAGAGGCAGTAGCAAACCTATATGGATTTGATTAAGATATAGATATGAATAAGACAAGCATAAGACATGAAGCTCATCTTCACAAACAAGTGTCTGACAAGGAAAAGACAAACACTGGTCTCTGACCAAACACAAATAACCACATCAGACAGGGTCAACAGGACCGGGGCCATGTCCCAGTATTGTTAGATCCCCTCAAATTGAGTTCAATTTCGATTTTCTTCTGCCTTGGCTGAATAGGGGTGCATCTTAATAGAGATCAGATGAGGAAGCCATTTTAGACTATTGAGATGGATCCTAGATTTCCACCAAAGACCCTAGCCTTCATCTATCTGTCATGCCCTGAGAGCTCAGTGATCATTGTGGAAAGGGGACAAGGTTAGGAGGAGGAGGCCATCTCAGTCTTTTAAGACGGCGCCGGAGAAGATGGCTGCCGTTTTACAGCCCTCTAACCAATTGTACTATTATGTGTGTTTTTCCGCGTCACTTGTAATTTATTTTGTACATAATGTTTCTGCCATCGTCTCTTATAACCAAAAAGAGCTTCTGGATATCAGGTCAGCGATTACTCACCTCGTATTGGACGAAGATTTTTTCTTCAACGAGGCGGCCGCGAAGGATATCCTACAGACACCCGACAAGGCCCAAATCCCCGTCATTCGCATGAGGAAGAGACGGAGATATCGTGGACGTAGGTCGGGATGCCTTGTAAGGATCCGACGGCGAGCGAGTAAACTGCCGCTCCCATCAATCCTATTAGCCAATCTTCAATCATTGGAGAACAAATTGGATGACCTAAGATTACGGTTATCCTACCAACGGGACATTAAAAACTGTAATATCTTATGTTTCACCGAGTCGTGGCTGAACAACGACATGGATAACATACAGCTAGCG